CCCCCCCCCTTTTTTTTTTTTTCGTGAACATACAAAAAGCAAAAAATCTTTAGATTGTATAATAAAAAAATTGATGGTTTATGTAGTCATGACCGTGTCTCTTTGATCCATTTTTTCTGCCATCATTGCCACAATGGCTGCTCCTACAATACGTGAATGTTGTACGACACCAACTGACAGTTTGGATGCAATATTTTCTGGAATCAAGTTTTTGATTGCCTCACAAACACGAGGATGAAACAATGGGTAATCCTTGTAGACATCTCCACTGATGGCTAACAAAAATATATATAAACATACACATCAAGAAAGATAAACGTTCTTACCAATAGCAAGACCCTTTTCTTGATCCAATCCGATACCTTGTTCTACTGTATATTTTACCACGCTTGCAATCCCCGCACCAAGCAATAGGGCCGCACGATGACCAACCCACTCACACACCTTTTTCACAATTGCTCTATCCCTTAGCGTTGTCTCTCCTATGCGGCACATTTCCTCCAGGACAACTCTTGTATCTTCCAGATCGTCTTTATCTATTTCACACACGTACATATAGCTTGTATCAAATTGATAGGGTATAGATAACAAGCAACCTTCTTCGTCTTCATCATCCTCTGAACTTAAATCAAACGATAACACTTTTTGATCCATCAAGTACAAGATCACCTGACGAACGATTTCACCCAGATACATGCCTGTCGTCATCTTTTCAAAGTTGTGGATACCTGGGTTATTCGATTGCGTGTCCAAGAGCTTGTCAAATTCTGTGATGGGTAAATGCTTTGCACCAAAGTTGCACCATTCTGTATTAATGATCATGTCATCTTTTTCATTGTCTCCGAACGCTTTTATGTTGGACATTTTATCGTAATAAGCACAGTTTGTGCCTGCACTGTGAATAACACCGATACGTGTCGTTGGATGCTGATAGGCATGAGCCAATAGTGTACACACTCCATCTATGTATTAAAAAAAAGGGAAGAGCGTGAGGAAAATATATATTTATATACTTTTGGTTTATTACCATTTGCCATAGCAACAATCTTGACTGCCAATCCCTTTGCCTGGAATCGCCTATCAAATAGATCTACAGCATCACATCCGATAGCATTAGGAAAATCAAAACCATGTTCTAAGGCAATGATTATGCCGCGATCAAGACCAGTCTGTAATACGGCAAATCCTAAACTGATGGCCATTGAATAAACCTGATGCCTAGGAGCACCTACTCTCTGTTGAAAATCGGCTACACAGTCAGCAACATAATCAATCAGGTCGCCAATATCCTGCCCAGCTGTCAGATTATCCGGGATTTTGTACTGATATTGATTAATTGCTAATTTTCCACCTTCGCCCTTTAGTTTCACTTGACAGACATATATGTCGACTCCACTTATTTCTAGTGCCAAATAAGTCCCCTTTTCATAACCAGTAGGATAACCTATTCTATATGAATAAAATAATAAAGAACTAATAAACTAGTTGGGTTTACCAATGACATAGGAAGGAATCATCTTTAATTCACTTCTCTTATAATCGCCAATCGACCTGTCAATATTTAAACCTGCCTTCATTTCTTCATTGATTCCAACCATCAAGTGGTTGAGCTGCTCCTCTGTCACTTGGAACGCTTTCTCTACTTGAGCTAATATTTCTTCTCTACTCGTCATTAAACTTTTTTTTTGTAATAGTAATAATAGTAATAATAATAAAAAAAAGAAAGAGAGAAAAAAAATAATTTTTAATCGTGCGACTCATGTGAGATAAAGTAGAGAGAGAGACAGAGGGTTTTTATTATGCACCCATTATACATTGACTAGACGACAATAGAGAAAAATATTTCCTTTTCATTGGCTATTTGTATAAAAGGGGAAATCAGTGGACAAGTGTCTTTTTAAGGGCATCAATGATCAAGACATGACGCTTTCTCAAACTGTCTTCATCTTCTATTTTTAATTTACTAACCATGCTTACTAGATCAGCATAAGGTGAATCTTGATTTTCTTGTTCACATGGCGGATAGAGCACCGTTTCTTGTTTCTTCTTTTTTTTACTTGAGTCATCTTGAGGTGAGGAGAAGACGTTCATCATGTGTACCAGCTCTTTTTTGTCATTGAATGAATTAGAATCTAGTTTAGGTGTGATGCTACTGTATGTCTTTTGTTGTGTTTCAAATGTTGATGTTACTTTCATTGATGGACGCGTATTGACTGTAAAATCAATTGCTTCAGAAGGTAATTGTTCTTGTTCCTGTTGTTGTTCTTCTTCTTGTTGTTGTGGTTGTTGATGTGAATAAATATAACCTGGTGACCAGAACTGTGCACTAAAACTTGAATTATCGACGGATTTATTGCGTGGGGGTAAAGGTGGTGGTTTAGGGGACGATGGAGGGGAATCTATCTTGGGTTCGGTAATAGATGGTTCGGGTGTGAAAGTCAGATATGGATCTGTAGGTAGGTCGTCTAGTTTAGGATAAATGCTATCATGAATTACATGCTGATCAGATATAAAAGATGAAAACGCTTCTTCAAAAGGTTCATCAGTGACAACAACACTTGGATACATGTTGTTGTCCTGTCCTTGAATATTCGCAGACAATTGATCTAGCCATATTTGAATCTCTTGAGCGGATTCGGGTGGTAATGACCAGTTTAGGTTATCTTGGTATTCAATTATAGAAGACAAGGCATTCAGCCTGTCAATCATTTCTACAGAACTTAAGCATTTCTTGGCAGCTGTGTTTTAATTACTCTTACCCAAATCATACGTTGGTAAGGTCTGATTCTGTAGCACGTCCTCCATAAAGTCATTGAATGTGTGCTGAACATCCTCAAGATGATTCTTTTCCTCTTCTCTGACTGTACAATTGCTTTCTGCAGGAGAAAGGCTTTCTGTAAACGAAAAATTAAAGCTCGGTGACGATATATCCGACGTGATTGAGCCTATGGGTATGGTCAGCATTGATCACAGTGGAACGATAGGGGCTTACCTTGACTTGACATATTGGAAGATGGATGACTTCTTTCATTGCTATTATTATTAGCTTTTCTTCTTCTTCGAACAGGTTTGTATCCTGGTTGCTTGCTAAGCAGTGATGCTGAGCATATAAAGTGATCAGTTATACATTAAACAATAATAGCAAGTACGTTACATTGATGCTCTTCCGTATGAATCTTTTCATGCTTTTTCAAGTCTTGAGGTCGTTTGAATCCCTTTTTACATATCTATGACATAGTTAATGAACTGTTCAGTTGATTGTTTTGTTTGTGTATTTACAGAGCAAACATGAGCTAAAAAAAGGACAGTGAGTTATCTCTTTCTTTCTCAGTGTTTGAATATTTACGTTTAAATGGCAAGTGTACCCTGATATGACTAGCAAGGTGATCACGTTTAGCCGCCACTGTGCCGCAGTTATTCCAGTGACATTGTAAGCATAAGTTATTTGTTGATTTCCTTCCAACATGGTCATCAGATAAGTGATTGTAAAGTTCATCAGCACTGTCAAAGGCTAGTCCACAGTCATTCCACTGGCAGTAAAGTGTTTGTTTCAACATTATTTCTAATATATACACAGGCGCAAGCGTACTCACAAAAAAAAACAATACACAGGCACAAGAAAAAAGGGAATGGATCTTTTATAAGCTCACATTAAATCCCGAATTTGGTGAAACTTTCCGTTTTTAGATTATGTCGGAGGTTCATTTACAGGCCCAAAGAGAAAAGTCAACAAGTCGGTTTAACTCTTTGACCGTAATTAAGCGGTGTTATATGGGGAGCCAGACACTCGCCACAGTTTTTATTAGCTTGTGGCAAGAAGGGAAAAAAATAGAAACTGTGAATGCCAAGGCAGCCCAAGTCATTCTTTGATACTATTTTTAACAATAGAATTTCTTCTTTTTTCTGGGTAAATACATCAGCATATCAAATGAGGGATATTGAATATTTCCTTAAACTATTAAAAAGGATCAATAAAGGAACGTCCTTTTTGTGAGAATAAAATAGTATTCAAAATATCTCTCAATGTGATCCAAGCTTCTTTGGCTCAGCTTCTTTTTTTTTTAAACATGATGCAGTAATGTGTAATGATGATAAAAAAAGGATAAGGACAAGCATTGCTTATTAATACACCTAGTCATGCACGTTCTGGGGGCCCTATTCCTTGGTTAAATTCAAGGAGACTTAATACTTCATGCCAGAAATGATATTCTTTTGCCTACATAACACTAGCCACTGGTTACCATTGATGACTTGCTTTATTGATCTGTAAGCAATGGAGTGACTTTACTTGATCTTTGATTAATTGCTTACCTTCTTTCTACCTCAGCCTGAGGTCTACTTGCATTATACATGAAAAGCAAACATAAAGAGCTATCAGTTGCCAGTATCTTGTGCTCAGGAGCATTACAATTAGAGCGCATTGATCACAATGTCTTGATTTTTCAATTATAAAAGGCCGCAAAGCTCCAATGTTAATTTGATCTTGTAGGTAGATATCTTTGAGCTATGGATAAACATTGATCACAGAAATATTCACTGGTCGTGGGTTGGCAGTAAGATCAATAAATAACGTGCTACTCTTGATTCATAATTTGAAATAGTGTAACGTACAATATTCTGTATTGACACCGACATTTTTTATTTAATTACTTGGTATCCGGAGTTTTGCGATAAGCTGAACTTGTTCTTTATCTTTTTGATTCCCAGTGAGAAGTTGGAAATCGACTTTATCATAATCATCATAAAATGGATGCATTATTTAAGCGGAACTCATAGATTAGAAACTGATTACACATTAGCTAGTTCAAGCATCTAGCAAAACTATTTGTAGCAAAAAAAAGGGGAGTTCAAGAGAATGATAATAAGTAATAGAGTCTTTGTAGACCATATAAAAAGGTAGTAGTCATTCACAAAGATATTGTACATTATAAAGCGCACAAGACAGAGGACATGTATATATGCATACTTATATAGAGTTTAATTATTATAAAGAGTAACAAATAATAAGGAGGGTATATACACATAAGAATCAGTTGTCTTTCTTATAGTTTATCACTGCTAAATTCTCAATAAATGCAATAAATCGTTCGCTGTACATCTTGGGATGAATAGCAGATATAGTGTCCCTATTTTGAGTGAGACTCTTTAATGCATGTTCTGCTCTCTTTAGTAAACTGTATCTTGTCAAGATATCAATAACACCCATATAATAGACTTTATCTGTTGGTTGATTATTTTCATCTGTTGATTTAAATCCACCATCCTCAGAGTAAAATATACAATACTTTCTCTCTTCAAAAGGTGTTTCTGGTAACAGTGAAGAATCCAATTGAACAGGGTTGGATAGCTTAATTGCTCTTCTTACAATGTCTGCTTTACTCCCTCTTCTATTTCTTGATAGGGTTCTTTCCAATTCCTTTGTATGTGGTTGAACAAAGCGCAGGTTACTATCTCTAATATTTTCAGTATTTCCTCTAATGATATCATGTATCCCAATAAGCAAGCTATAGTCCATAATATTCAATCTGGATAACAATTGCACATCTGTACGTAACTGCTCTAAGAATAGTGCTTTCTTTTGTGTACCAAGCTCTAATCTCTTCTTTCTATTGACCCAGTTGAGGTCCTTTAATACCGCATGGGGATTCTTGCTGATATCTTCCTCTGTTGTTATTCTTCCATAAGTAGATCCCTTCAAGTCATATGTCTCATGTACATCTTTATTGCTCGGCAGCACGTTACCCATGACTACAAAATGAATCTTTCTTCCATGAGGTAACTTGATGCGATGTAATCCATAGAATCGACAGAGTAATGTATGTGGGTTCTCACAAACATGCTAAATCAAGTTAACATTAAACAAGTCACCTCGAGATAGATCGATCTACCTGATAATAGTCCTTGAGTATCTTTCGCATAAATTTATGTTCTGTGTGATGAATTGTCTTAATAATAAATCGATAGTCTCGAGAATAGTAAAAGAAGCTTCCGCTCTTTCCCGGTGACCCTAATTCACTGAGAATGTATTTATTCGTAAGTGACATCTAAAAAAAAAGGACATGTTAGAAGTAAAATGAAACAATAGCGCGTTTCATGTTTTACCATGTAATCTGCAGGATCAATATGAAACTGTTCTCGTAAATATCTAAACACCCAAGGCGCATAATCCTTAAACTTGAAATCATACTTGACACCAGGCGTCAACTCGTTACCAGTGCTTGATCAAGTAAAGAATGAATTTTTCTTTTCTATTTGCTTTTATCAATATACTTACACATCAAATACTAGCTTATGAGCTGCCTTAAAGTCATCATCACTAAGTTCTCTGCGTATCTTGGCAGATACACGACCCACAGCAATTCGAATCCCAGTCAACATATCATACATCAACTGATAATTTCGATGTCCCTCTCCTACACGAGTGCCTATCATCACCCTATCGTCATCTTCATCGTCATACTGGTGCTGCATTCGCCTTGAAGCCCGTCGTGCAGCACGCCTGGCCGTGATCTCTGCTTCCAAGGCTGCTTGATCTTCAGGTCCTAATTCACCTAGATCTGGTGTCAGTGTTCGACGGTGGCGTGACAATGTAGGTGTTGAAGAAGCTCTTTTTGTCTGAGAGACAAACGAAGGATTGGGATCCAAGGGGAATGGAGCCACATCCTCAGACATTCGTCTTGTGCTGTAGTGTGTGTCAAGGTTGGGATTAACTGGAATAAGCTCTTTATGGTCTTTTGAAAGTCTAGACTCTGGTACACTTTTACCAGATCGTAGAGACTGCGAAGTGGGCATACACAATAATATTTAAGTTTACAGAAAAGAGAAAGAAGAAGAGAACGTGTGCAAGAGTGAAAAGGAGAGAAGGAAATGAAAAAAAAAAAGGACTTGGTTTCAGGAGCAAAGCCAAGACATAAAAAAAAGAGCGGAGATCATGCATACTTTTTGTGGGGGGTTTATGAACAATTGCGTCTTTTTTTTTTGCTTAAAGAAGCTAAAGGTGTAACACACACAATAGTCCTTAATAAGTATCCATTTGTGATCCTCGTGGCCAAAAATATCAAAGAGCCACCTATACAAAACAAGATCATTGTCTCTATTACCAAGCCACTTTTGGCAAGATTACGTTTTATTACACCCAATCTGTTATATCCTGTGAGTCCCATAGATTTGTCTTGTAACTAATGATCAGTCTATCATCTTGGTTTATGTGGATCATTCCCTTTGTATGATAACTTGTCTCTCCTCGTAGTAACTTTTCTGCCTTTACGCGACACACGCGGTGGTTCTGACCAAGCTTTAAACGCTCGAGTGCATCATCATTCTCACTCTTTGCCCATTCTATCGTCATTTTCTCATACTCTGACACATTTTTCCAGTAGGCTTCAACGTTGGGTTCATCTGGAGGCACTGATAATCGACCAGGTTTAGGCACGCCCCCTGTGGTACGTTCATCAAAGGACAGTTTGCTAGCATCTCCAGTAATGAGCGAAGGTAAACTGTCTGCTGGAATGTACTGTTCAAGGTCTTGGGCAGTCTTTGTAAACACGATCTTGCTGACGACAACAGGATCCAGTAAGGGCGTGATTAAATTCCATACTATGGGATGTAAAAGGAATTTAATAGGTGTGTTAATATATATATCAAGCAATATCGAACCTGTAGAAAATATCCAAGGTGCTTTATGAACACAGGCTAAACCGAGAGACTCAGGATAGTAGGCTTGAAAGCATTCAGCCAAGAATTTAACCGCATCAAAGTCCTAAAGTATATAAGTTGAGTGTTTAAGGGTATTAATTGCCTGCTTGTATACCATATTAGCCATTGTAAAATTCTCTAAACTAAACACGAGGCATACAGTCTCCATAGGATAATCACATATGAGTCGAGCTGTTTCCATAATGTAAACTGTCAGCAGTTTTGCAAGCTCCAGTGGTTGATCTTCTTTATGGTAAACCTGAACATTGACAAAGCTTTTATGTATGTTAACAGAGGTTACAGAATAATAAACGTTGTTGATTACCATATACCACGATAGTTATTATCAGGGCCACCGAGTGTTACTAGTTTTCGTCCCAATAGCTCCTTGAACGTAGTACCTAACCCACTCTTGCAACGCTCTAATTCTTCAATTAACCCTGTTTCACCTAGCGCCACAATATCATCCGTTCTCATTTCTAGACGCCACCGTAAAGTATTAGCCAACATATGGTAGGCCGCATCCAAATCCCATTTGCGTGCACGTAAAAATCGTAAAAGGGTTGAGTCTGGGTTATCTGTAGCGACTAATCCCCAAAAGGTTCGACGAAGCAATGAACCAGGTATCAAAGGCAACGCCTGGTCTAGTGGCAAGCTCTTCCACCGAGGATCCGATGTAGTACCTAAGAAATAGTCTCTATCTTTCTTGTCTTCTTTTTTGCCAAAACCTAGAAAACCACTTCCATTTTTTTTGGCTGTTGTCTCTTGTGTATTAGCTAACTGTATCTCGTCACCCTTTTGTTCAAATAAAGCAAAAATGCGTAACCAAAACTTCTTTAATTTCTCGGTTTGGTCTTTGTCTAATGAGCCTGCATGACCTGGTTTGCGATTGTCCAAAGACAGATCTTTGGCCATGACTTTGGACATGTTGAATACGTAAGCAAGAATAATGGGGAGAAAAAAGAAAAAAGAAGGGTACTTTTCCTTTTTTGAAATGACATCTTGTTTCACCAAAATCACAGTAACACATCCGGAAGTATATTTTATTAACGGATTTTATAAAACATAGACAATCTATCCACCTTGTCTTTAGGTACAACATCAGATGATTTGATAAGGGTGAACAAACTTTCAAGTTCTATTGATAAAAATGGGTTTAGACAATATTCTCCATATTTTTTGTATTTATATTACCTTTTTCCTGCTGTTTGGATAAAAACATGAGTAACATGTCCAAACGTTTTACCCGCGAAAGGCCGTCTAATACGTCATAAATGTCTTTTAGTGTCTTTTGCTCTACATATTTAGTTGCTAATATATGAATCATTTGTTCAAAATAGTCGGATTCGAGGGATGATTTAAACAAGGTTGCAAACGAAGCAGGTGGAATATTCTATATGAGATTAAGTATCATGCTTTTTTAAGGGAATGTTAAACCTACTTGAAAGTATTGATATAAAACATCTATGCCTCTTGCCTTGCATGTTTTCCAATCTCGTTCAAATTCAAAGTTTGTCTTGGGGACTGGAAACTTCAGCGGCACTGTTGAGGAAGGCACAATGGCAGGCCACGCCTTTTCAGTGGTCACCTTAACTGGCAGTGAGTCTGTGGTCTTTTTCTCATTCTCTTTTCTTTGCTCCTCCTTGACTAGGGTTTTATTTGCAGTACTTTCCTTGACATTTTTAGCTTGTTTAGCAGTTGTCATTGGCGCCTCTGAGGCTGGTTGTGTGGTTTTATTAACTTTGCTTGTAGAAACTGGAGTCAATGGAGGTTGCTGAGATGACTGGGGCTCATAGGCAGCGTCAATAACATTGATTGGTAACGAACGAAACTTGCTTTTACTATTCGTTTTCTGTTCTTCTGGTAATGTTTTGTTACTTGAAATGAGCGCCTGCAAATCCTTTGCTATAGTTGCATTTTTTGGTTCCAACTTTAAGGCCAGTTCCATATCTATAATCATTGGCATTAGAGAAGATAATATATACAATAAATCAATTATACCTTTTTTAGCCTCTACAATTCGACCCAGTTTCTGCAAAGCTATACCGCGTCTCCAGTAAGCTTTAACATTCTTGGTATCGAACTGAATTCCTTTTGTACAATCCCTTTCTGCTTCTATGTAACTAGTGATACTATGTAAGCACGCCTTCTATATTACATAATTCAAAGACTTACTTTTCCAACTTTATATATGCCATGGCTCGATTCACATAATAGACAGATACGGTCGGATTCAACTCGATAGCCTTGGTATAATGAATCACAGCTTGTTTAAAGTTGCTTTGCTTGAAATAATCATTACCCTGATATTCTGTTAGAGTCGTATTTTATCTAAGTATATGGATCCTACTTTTGTCTTTTCAGCTTCTGCTCTCTCTATTAAAGTAGGCTTTTTGTTGACTGGGATCTAGTAATAGAATTAGTTTTCTCTTTTTTCAAATGTTAGTTTCAATCTATATTCTGCTTACATCCTTTTTTGGGGTCGAAGACAAAGCATTTAGACCCTTTGGCTTCAAATTATCTAGAACAATCTCTGTCATTTCACGAATAGGAGATACTGTCTATTATTGACAAGGTCAATATACAAATATCAACTGACACTGCCTTGTTATTTACTTTATCATGAATCGGTTTGCTTTTTAATAATGCCTCGTCCTTTTTATTAATGTCTATTTGCCATTTTAAAAGATCATTCCATAATGCTTCATTTGTACTGGTCATTTTCTACACAGTTTTTTAATTGTTCAAAGAGACAAAGTTCATGTTTATATGACATTCAACACAAGTCACGCATATGTCAATTCATACAGAGCAAGTTTGATTTTTAAACTATACACTTTTAGGTACTTTAGGAGCATTTACTTGTTGGTTTACGAACGGTTTCAGAATAAAAGGCGTTACATGAGATATATTCATCAATGCGAGCTTTTTTTTGTATTGTGAACACTAAGAAATGATCTACATAAACTTCCACTGGAACTAACGGAAAAAAATATGAAGGAAAAAAATAAAAAAAAAAAAAAAAAAAAAAAAAAAAAAAAAAAAAAAAAAAAAACTATATTTACACAGGTATATTGTTATGTCAATGTTGAAGTTTCCTTTAAATGCTACTTTTCTAGATACTCACAGTAATCGGTAAATGCTTGACTAGTCTTCCTTTTCTAGATAGTTCCCTAAAGGCAAGGAATTCTTTTTCATAGAGATTGAGGCTTATTGCTTCTCGGACAATTGATTATTGATATTTTTCTTCATTGTACTGCTATACGGAGTCTTCTTTTAAATGCTGGTCGTTTATTTCAACTATATCTTCTTGTCGCATGAGGTGCAAAGAAGACATCAGTTTTGCCCGCTATCGGGGAATAAATTACGATGAGAATGATAAACTGCGCTTGTAAGCCTAATCTTTGGTAATTTTGACACAATGATATCAGTAAGGAAACACTGAAAAAGAAAGAAGGAGCAACACATAGTTATAAAAGGTAATTAGGTCTTTAAAAAGCCTAAATAATAAGGGAGATAAAGAGGGTTATGGCTCCTAATTTCTCTTTTGATATAAAGTTAAAATCAAGCCAACTAAAGTTGCTATGACGTATCAGTTGAAACATTATAATTTACTTCTTTTTTATTTTTACATTCTTTTCCTTTTTCTGTATCAACTCTTTTTCTTTATAAAATGTCAAAGTTGCCTACTATTGAAGTTGAACACGATGTTCACGCGCCTGCTTCCACTTATTATACAACAGGTGATAATGCGAGACATAGGACAAGAACTCATACGGTAAGAATAAAGGAAAGAAAAATTATGCATAAATCATGTTGATTATTTTTTATATTGTAGAGAAGTCATCAAGTAGGAGGAACTACTACAAATACACTGGAAGGAACACGTAGACGACGTGCTTCACATGGTAATTTCATTTTGTAGTTTAGGAATATACAATACTTAGTTACTCTTGTAGATGAAAAGAATAAATCACGTCGTTTTTTGATTGATGTTGAAGAGACTCAGCGAAAGATTCTGGAACAAGAAGATACAGATGGTGACTTTCAAATCACAATTAATGATTTGGGTCCAAAAACGATGTCTTTAGGTACAGCCGATTCAGGTGGTTACCGAAAGATTGACATTAGAGGCACATATATGCTGTCAAATCTATTACAGGAGCTCGCACTGGCTCATGACTATGGAAGAAAGCACATTGTACTAGATGAAGCTAGATTAAATGAGAATCCCGTGGATCGGTTGTCTCGTATGATTCGTTTCAACTTTTGGGATGGCTTAACTCGACGTATTGATGCCGATTCTCTTGAAGTCATTTGTCCGGATCCCAAAAATAGATCAACCAACAGAAACCCTCGTATTTACGTTCCCTGCGATGACCATGAAGCATATGCATTCTATAAACAAGTGGCAGAGGTTCGCAAACACTTGCATCTTGAAGTGGAATATCTTCCTCGAGAGATCACTGCAGATTACGTCAAGAGCATCAATGATCGCCCTGGTCTGCTTACTTTAGCTATGCGTAAAGTAAAAGATGAAAATGGTAATGATACATACGTTGGTGAGCCCTTTGTTGTCCCTGGTGGTCGCTTCAATGAAATGTATGGCTGGGATTCTTACTTTTCGGCGCTTGGCTTACTTGAAGACGGAAGAATAGACCTGGTACGAAGCATGGTAGAAAACTTTGCATATCAAATCAAGCATTACGGTAAAATTCTCAATGCAAATCGCTCCTACTATCTTGCTCGTTCTCAGCCTCCGTTCTTGACTGACATGGCAATCAAAGTGTACGAACGACTTTCGCCCGATAAAGAACAAGAGAACAAGGCATGGCTAAGACGTATACTCAAATCAGCCATAAAGGAATACTGGGAGGTATGGATGTCCGAACCACGCCTAGATAAAAAAACAATGCTATCGAGATATCGTCCTGATGGCTCTGGTATCCCTCCCGAAACCGAAGCTTCCCATTTCGTTCATATTCTAGAGCCTTATGCTAAAAAACACAATATTACACTGGACGAATTTATTGAAAAGTACAATGCGGGTGCCATAAAGGAGCCTGAGCTAGACGAATACTTCTTACATGATCGTGCCGTAAGAGAATCAGGTCACGATACTACTTATAGATTCGATAAAGTATGTGCAAATTTGGCAACAGTTGATCTAAACACACTGCTATACAAATATGAAATGGACATAGCCGACGTTATCAGAGATTATTTGGACGATGACTTGGAAGATTTTAATGGTGTCAAACAAAATCCAGATGACTGGTTAGAAAGAGCCAAGCAGCGCAGAGAACGTATTGACAAATATCTGTGGAATGAGAAAGAGTCTCTCTATTTTGACTATGATACCGTCAAGGAAGAACAGACGACATATGAAAGCGTCACTAGCTTCTGGGCTCTCTGGGCAGGCTGTGCCAGTCACGAACAAGCACAATCCATGGTGAAAAATTCACTCTCCAAGTTCGAAGTCATGGGCGGTTTGGTGTCTGGTACCGAGTCATCTCGAGGTGCTATTTCTTTAGAAAGACCTAACCGACAGTGGGATTTCCCATTTGGCTGGGCGCCTCATCAGATGATGGCTTGGGTAGGTCTTGATAAATATGGTATGCTTGAAACAGCTCGTCGACTAGCATATCGCTGGCTATATACGTAAGTACTATTAAACTTTTTATTATGCATACTCATTTATTCTTTAGAATCACAAAGGGTTTTGTCGATTTCAACGGCGTCGTGCCTGAAAAATTTGACGTTGTAAGTTTATCTCACAAAGTAGAAGTCGAATATGGTAATGTGGGTATAGACTTCAAGTGTGTACCCAGGGAAGGCTTTGGTTGGATGAATGCTTCCTATCAAGTAGGTCTTAGCTATTTGACTACAAACATGCGTCGCGCCTTGGGAACATGTACTCTTCCTGACTTATTGTTCGAAAAGGCAATGATTCGTGAACACCGCATGTTGGGCATGACACCCGAAGAAGAAGAAACCGTTGCTCTTCGTCGTCGCGCATCAACCATTGCTGCCAGGGCTATCACACGTAATGGTAGCATTAACGCTGCAGTTACTCGTATTTCATTATCAGACGCACCACCAAAGCAATAGATAGCTTTTATCATTTTTATTGTGTGTTTTGAAAAGCATATATGCAGCTAATAAAAAACACGGGAAATTTTACAGTTTCGAAAGTCGCTCATCCTTTAGCAACTTAACGACTCTTTGGCTACAGCCCCAGCTGGATTGATAACCTTGATTTAGACATAAGATTAGTTCACATTCCTGACAGATGCGATATTCTTACCATGAGAACCATGTCCATAATTATGGCATACGGTCACCTTTTGACCATTAGAGCGATCTATAGATACGTTAATAGGGACAATTTATAAATAGAATAGTGCACTTACGCTTAATCTCTTTTTCAATACGGATACCACCGCGGCGAGCAGGACGAAAGCCAACGTTATAAGAGACAATATCAAATGCGTTAGGACCCTTCCCATGCGTGATATCTGGACACATCTCGTAAACTCGCTTCAGGATATCCTTTGTAATTGCCTCATCAGGAGCAGTGACTTTATTGTCAGGATCTACTGTACCGCCACAGATGACAGTACCATCGCCCCGAGGAATGATGTACGTCCAGCAAGTAGTACCTACATATCACTATCAGTGGCATATTCTTTTTATGATTATCACATTACTGTCATCATAGTATTGCGTCTGTAGTAAATAAAATTAGTCAAATTGGCGTAAGGGTTTACATGACACCAACCTTGATGTGAGGAGCACGAACAAGAACGGTTTGTCCACGCAGAGTAAACAATGCATCATCTTTAACATCTTTTAGATCATGTGATCCATAGCCTGTACAATTGACAACGTTATCAACATCTGGATATGCCTCAATAGCTTCTTGAATACTGTTAAATGTACGCCTCTCTATACGACCTCCTAAGCTTCTATAGGTTTTTAAAAGCCACTGAAGATATTTGGGGACATTGGCGACACCTATTCGCGTCAATCAGTACCTGTTTATCAAAATTGAAAAAGAAGGGCCTACATGAGGTAAAAGTATATCCGTGGGACATTCCGGGTTTAAGATTTTGCTTTGGAATAAGCCGGACCTATAGATTGCATTGGTTAATCCAAGAGACAAACTTGCTATAGATATCATACATTGTCATAGATTTTCTTAACCCAGTAGACTTCCTCATCTGTCGCCTGTGGTTGCCTTACATACTGAACAGCATCTGTTCGACTAACATGGGCATCAGGAATATTGTCACAGATACGAGCGAATTCCTTTTTCGAATCCAAATCGATCTCTATGTGAAAGAATAAATAACCGATGTGTCGGGCAGTCATTTTCTCTCTTACCATGCAAGCGATAGTCATCAGGGCTAGCAGCAGTTATAATTGACGCACCAGCCCATGGGGAAGTATACTCAGAAGATATATCGCCTGGTAAGTGTCTTGCAGCAATAATAACATCCTTGAAACCATTGCGCAATAAGCAGATACCGCTTGTTAAACCCGATACACCAGCGCCTTAGAAATAACAAGGTAAATAAGTCTCTCAATAAAAGTTTCATGTTCATTACCAAGTATAAGTACTTTTTTTGTCATTTTGAAAACTTAAAGAAAAAGAAAAAGAAGGAAGGACAGAGAATATGCCAGATTACTACAATCGTGGGGAAAACTGAACTTTAAATTCGAGATAACGCTTTAATGACTCATACTTAATAGACATAAGCTTCTATACGTATAGATTAAGCTTACCCTTGTAAAGCTTGAGAAAAACAAGAGAAAGAGAGAAAGTGTATAGGTTATTTTTAATATCTTTTGTAATCATGTAAAGTTGTAATGGATGCGATTTAAAACTGTAAGAGAGAATTATAAAATAGAACCTTTCACATCGTATGTAAAAGATATGAACAACGTAGTAAAACCTTAAAATTCGGATTATAACGTTTATTTATTATACATGTAAAATGCATTAAATCAAGTAACTGTGTCACCTTTGAGAAGGGGACACCAACTTCAAACTCATTGAGCTGTGATTAAATATTTAATTTCAGTCTCTGGGACCCATCAGCAGGGGGCTTCAGTGCTTTTTTAGCTTCTTTTTTCACTTTTCGCTAGAACCCCATCTTTATCTCTTTTTCACATCCATCCATCTATTTTCTCAACCTTCAACACTCAAATTAAAGGTAAATGTTGTCTACTTTGGAAGCAACTAGCTGCTATATACACAACTCCTCCGAAATTCGCCTTATTCGAAATTCTCCTGTGCGCTTGATTCTTGAAAATGTGTAATGAAAATTACAAGTCTTGCTGAAATTTCCAATACTCTTCTCAAACAATGTACACATGCTGTTTTTTCTTTCCAAAAAAAAAGACAAGCTACTTTTACTACTTGATGGCCGTCGTCATTTATTGAAGATGGAAAGTTTTAGAAGATGTGCTTTGGATGACGTGGACACTACAGTCATACGTAATCGACCCAGCAACTCCGCAATGGCGATTTTTTTTATTTGCTATTTTTCAGAGCAGCAAAAGGGAGCAGAGAATATGTATTAGAATGGATCAGATTACGCACTGTATGTGTATCGACAGACTACACGTAGAGCTGTGATCATAGATCAGTTATGATTAGTACAGCAAAAAGACTTGTTACTAGTATTGTCATTTCATTGTTCATTTTCTTTGAAAATCAAGTCAAAAAGAGACACAATCTTTTATGGAGAAACGAATTCGGAGGATGGCAGTTGATTGATTATCCCCTTTTTTAAAAAACGCATTACTCACTTTTTTGTCTACCTCAGTATGTCCGCTGCCGACCACGCTGATGATCTCATTGACTACGAAGAAGAAGATGAACAAACTCTTCAACAAGAAACTACTGTACAACAAACAGCTAATGTAGATGAAGAAGAAGAGAAGAAAGACAAAAAGGGTTCATACGTCGGTATCCACTCTACTGGTTTCCGTGACTTCTTGTTAAAACCTGAACTTTTAAGAAGTATTGTCGACTGTGGTTTTGAACACCCTTCAGAAGGTATTTTTCTCGAATATCAATTGATCAGCCAAGAACCCTAACACTCAACGTGCTCTAGTCCAACAAGAATGTATCCCTCAATCCATTTTGGGTATGGACGTTCTTTGCCAAGCTAAATCTGGTATGGGTAAAACTGCTGTTTTTGTTCTGGCTACACTTCAACAACTTGAGCCTGTGAATGGCGAAGTATCTGTCATTGTTCTTTGCCATACTCGTGAATTGGCTTTCCAAATCAAGAATGAATATAGTCGTTTCTCCAAATACCTTCCAGACATCCGCACTGAAGTATTCTATGGTGGTGTGCCTATGACCAAAGATGTTGAAACCTTAAAGGACAAAAATAAGTGTCCTCATATCCTTGTGGGTACTCCTGGTCGTGTTTTGGCTTTAGTACGTGATAAGCATCTCAAGCTTAACAATGTCAAGCACTTTGTTTTGGATGAATGTGACAAAATGCTGGAGCAGTTAGATATGCGTCGAGATGTTCAAGATATCTTCCGTGCAACACCTCATCACAAGCAAGTCATGATGTTTACTGCTACATTAGCAAAGGATATGAGACCTGTGTGTAAAAAGTTTATGCAAAACCCTCTTGAAATCTATGTTGATGATGAAGCCAAGTTGACTCTCCATGGTCTTCAACAATTCTATATCAAATTAGAGGAAAGAGAAAAGAACCGTAAATTGAATGATTTACTAGATTCACTTGAATTCAACCAAGTCTGTATTTTTGTTCGTTCTGTTGCTCGTGCAAATGAATTGAATAGAATCTTAACAGACTGTAACTTCCCAAGTATCTGTATCCATTCACACATGACTCAAGAAGAACGTATCAAGAGATATAGATCATTCAAGGAATTCGAAAAGCGTATTATGGTTGCCACTGATATATTTGGCCGTGGTATTGATATTGAACGTGTCAACATCGTTATCAACTATGATATGCCCGATGGCGCAGACTCTTACTTACACAGAGTGGGTCGTGCTGGTCGTTTTGGTACCAAGGGTCTCGGTATCACTTTTGTTTCTGATGAAAACGATACAAAGGTCTTGAACGATGTCCAAAGTAGATTTGAAGTTAATATTGCACCACTTCCTGAAGACGTTGACATTAATGCCTACATGACTTCTTAAATTCATTTTTTAATAATAAACGGCTATGGTTCACGCAAGAAGTATTCAATGAAAAGCAAAGACAAGGCCAAATAAGAATGTCAGTTAGAGAAAAGTTTATGAAAACAATTTAAAGATTTGCCGATTTCTCATTTGCTTTTTCACATTGACGTTCAGTAAAGTATACACTTTGTTTTGAATTGATTGACATACAAGGCCAATCTCACTTTTGTTGGTTATCGATTATTTAAAAGATAATATGTAATAATACATAAAATGAACTTGACACTTTTGTAAATAACCCATAACCGAAATATTTATCTTTTATTATTATTTGTTGCCTAAAGTTATCAGTATGCGAGTAGTTTCTGAATAAAGTATAATGCATGAAATACCTCCTTCTCACTCCTCTCAGCATCTTTCGATCTCAAAAGAGATATTAGATTTTATCTTGCTCGAGTGGGATGAAATTTTATTGTTTCAAGGCGCCCACAGTGGTCTTTTATTTTGTTTAATTGTAATGCATGAACTACGGAAAGAATTGCAGCCAATGAGGTAACAACAAAGTCACTATTTTTATTTTTATTTTACTAAACCCCACATGAAGTTTTTACTTTCTTTTCGTATAAACTATGCTTCGATTGTCCGCAAGGGTCTGTAATTCGAGTTCAAACGTATTCAAGACGTCTAGTCGCGTTTCTCGGCCTATTTATCGTGCCCAGGCTATTAGACAATACACAACTCCAAGTAGTAGTAAATAGTAATAATAATAAATACAACTACTAAAAAATTATGTTATCAGAGCAGGCTGTTTTCAATAAAACTCTTAGTACACCTGCTGCCACTTTTGGTGCTTCAAAGATAATACCTCTTACTGCATTTGGTATTGCCACTACTCCTCTATTGGTTAAGAAACCAGTAATGTGTGAAGGTAATAGATGTGCTGTCTGACTTATATACACATGGTTAACTGTCAGTGCATAGCCGTTTATGCTAATGATATGAGTCAACCAAAGATTATTACTACTTCCAAGCAAAAGTCAATCCTTAACAAGGGTGAGTTGACCTTTGGGACTTTTCTAGGTTTCTGTACAGGGTTTTTGATAAAGAAAGTTGGTAAAATATTCGCCATGTTTGTTGGTACAGGCTTTGTATTTTTGCAGGTAATTTATAAATAGAAAATTTTCCCATAATGGCTTATTCCTTGTGTGTAGTACCTTGCTCAGGAAGGCTATGTCACCATTCATTGGGACCGTTTAGAAGGCAGATATAACAAAACACTAGACGTTGATAAAGATGGAAGAGTGACAGCAAAAGATCTTCGTTCCAAGTGGCAAAAGTTTGTTGATCTCTTGACAAACAATATTCAATTCAAGTCAACCTTCTTGATCGGTCTATATGCGGGTATCAGATACGGTTAACTTTTTAATTCATAAAAGTGAGATCATGTAACATTATTTTTTTTTTCTGTATTTTCTTTTCTGCCCTAATTTTTTCTTGGCCTTTTTTTTTTTTTTTTCATTATTCTTGGTATTCTCTGTTTTCAACATGCCAAATCCATTTCATGAACCACAGATTAGAATATTAAAAGAAGCATTTCCAGATATTGACATATTAACTATTGACGAAGCTCTTTATTCAGCTCGAGGCGATATTAATACAGCATTTGATATGTTATTAGAGCCCAATAGTCCAACCAAGTCAACACACTCTGTAAATAAGGAATAACATGACAAAAACTAACGTACTAACACTTTATATTTCTATCTTCAAACAGTCAGAAACAACACTATTTTCTCCGATTGTAAGTTATCTCAATAGAAGGGATGATGTTGTCTATATTGATACATTTTGATATAGAACAAAACTAAATCACCAACTGTTCGCGAAGAGTTGGCTCAATGGCGTCAGGAACTTTATGTAGAAAGTCGATTGAAAGCCGAGAGAGATATGAATAGAAAGACGAACAATGGATCATTTTTAAGCTTACCAAGTATATTCTCCTCAACACATCATACCAACCTCAGCTGAATTTTTTTTGTGTGTGTGTATAGGGCGTATAAAAAATAACCCATTCATACATCATAGCGATGGTCATAGTAATAATGACAGAAATAGAGTACATCGTTTGGAAAGTAATGAGAATATCGTCCTTTTGTTTAGAATGTATTATGTTGACTCCTTCTTTTTATTTTTATATATAGACACAGTTAAATATCAATCACAGTGTTCATCAATAGTAAGTACACTGAAAGTTATTTACAGTGTCATTATGATATAACAGTAAATATAACAGCACTTCACAAAACTTGAATACAAATCACCATAATCAAGGTCAATCAATTAATCTAATGATTCTGTTGATTAAAACCTAACCTTAAAGACTGCTATAGGATATCCCAATATCGTATTTACCACTTCAATTCGATCAACTCCAAATCGCTCTACCTTGCCACCACCAGTACCGCCAAGACGATTAACTGGTATATGAATTAATAGACAAATCATGACAAGTATTAAACAAAAATGATTATAGTCGGAGAAGTTCGTACAAACCCCTTTCTATCAGAATTACCAAACAATAGCAATTCATCACCGCAGCTATTGGTCAATACTCCTCCTCCTTCAAGAAGACTAAATACAATCACACATCATCAACGAGGTACAACAGATCATTGATAATAATACACCATTTACTAAGCTAACTTTATGATAGCAATAGACGAAGGAGCAGTCAATAACCCTTTCGACGAACCTGATATGCCTCCTCCTGCATATCAAGATATACAAAAAGACACTCTTGTGCATCTCACTCCGTAAAAACACGCTTGATCTATAATACTCATTGTAACATCACAATCTCACAGTGATATCATAGCTTATATATATATATATATGTTTCTCTTTACTCTTCTTTTTGTCTAGTATATGTATATCTATTTATTTTGTAAAACTGTTGTATATTTCCATATTATGCGTAAAAGTCATTTGCATCTAACACATGCTCAGCAGTGATTCCAGCAATAGTTGTAACAATTTTGATTTCAGTAAGCCCAAAAATAAAACTCACAGTAATATCCACTCTAGTACCATTCTCTACGTTCGAAAGCCATGGCATTTTTACAGGAAGTTCAATGAGCTTCACTACTTTCTTATCGGTAATATATCTTGGTATTGAGTCGTCGTCACAAGCGTATAGATCAACTTTTCAAGAATATTAACTCGTATGAGCTGAGAAATGATCACTTTTCTCTCCTATTACCTTCGGTATGCTTTGGATATTCTACCCAGTAGCTTCGTCTCATTGTTTGGTTAGCACCAATACGAGCACCTTTCATCGCAATGACTTCAAATCGTGTCGAGCATCTTTTTATTCCATCACTTGTGATAATGGCACTTGATTCTGGATCAATTCCTTCTACAAATGGAAGCCGTGTTCTTATGCCATATGATCGACGTAATATTTTGCTTGTCACTAAAGTTGGTCCAAGTACATGATATATTGCTCCTTCAGCAACCGCTAATTCTCCGCGTGGCGGCATAGCTATCTCTCCAACTTCATCTGGACCAAGATTGTTTTTTAAAGCTTCATAAAGATATGAAGAAGATCCAAATCCTCCAACAAGAAAGATAGAGTTAACAAAACAACCAACTTGTGTCAATTGTTCTTTAACTAAGCCAATAACTTGACCTAAAACAGGACCGAATACATAGTCTTCTAGTTCATCTTTATCAAAAATCATGTGACCATTCTAAAGGCAAATCCATTAGTGTTTTGTCTTGTTGCCGTTTTACTTACATCATTCAAAAATTGAGCAGGAATATACTGAGAAACAGCAGCTGGTACTTCTAACGTATATTGATCTTCGTCCCCTCGATAATTAGGCTAAATAGATTGTTGGTATTGTCAATCGATATTGTAACTAATATCATACTTTTATCCGTTCTATAAAGTTGTCCATCATTGTTTCATACATACAGGCTGACACCTTTTCTATGTTACTGCCTAGCTTTGTCCTTAAGAGAAATCTCATGTTTTGATCAATAAATGCACTTCCACACATGCCACCATGTCCTTTGGTCACTTCTTTTAGCTTCCTTGGTGGTTTGATATCCTCTATTTGACTTGATTCAAAGTTAATGATGTTTATGTTTTAATCCGTAGAAAGATATTTACTAAGTCACCAAATCAATTGTGCCTCCTCCAGCATCAACAATCATGAATATGTCCCCATTTCTTAAACTCAAAGAATTGTATCTATTTTCACAGTATGCTGCCGCTGCTTCTGGCTCACTTATAAGCTTGAGCCTTTCTAACGGATCATCTGCAGTTATCATGCCTGCCCTTATAGCTGCTTGTCTCATCAATGCCTTTGCTTCATCAGACCAGATAGCGGGAATAGTTAAGCACTATGCATAGATATAGATAGTTAAAGTTAAATCACATTTGTAAGTAGTATACTTACATATTGATATTGGTGCTGTCTATAATTCTGAAATCCTGTTGTCTTTTGTATCTCTTCACAAATGTACTCGTGAAAACGTCGTAGATAATCTGATACAGCATCTACTGATGTTTTACCATCAGGTAATGGAATGTCATCCTGCACCAACGCAAGTTTAAAGTATTGCAAAAATACACCTTCTTGGCTTGGCTATTAAATAAAGTATTATGACGTGCTCATTGAGGACAATCAGTACCTTTAAAGCTAGTAATTTCGCGCCTTTTCCCCAGTCTAAGACCTTGTTTTTATTTTTATAGTATAAACATGTAGGAACTTTTGCATAAAAACCATTGTATTTTGGCCATTTCGTGATTGCATTAATGTCTACATCAGAATTCTGTGCTAGGCAGAAACAGCAACCCTGCATAAATGTGTTTGAGTTAATATTGTTTATGCATAGTTCTTTATTAAATCATCAACTTACAGAGAAGGTTGTCCCTGTTTGTTTACAATAATGAATAAGAAAAAGACCTTGTTAAAAAGTGAAATGTAGTTACCAAAGTCAATAGAGACAACAACAGGATGATCTAATTTACAACTCATCAAACTAAGAGATTCCCTACAAAAGGGGTAAGGAAAATAAAAAGCGGAATCGAAATTGACAACAAAAAGTGCTCTTTTGTCCCTGAGTCGACATCAATTGATAATTTGTGACCTTGTAGATACCTATATCACATAAGAGGCACGGAAACAACAGCCTTAATGATGAAGCTCATGGGTTAGCCGCTGAGCTTGTGTTCTATGAAATGAAAGAATCGACAATTCCCCTTTTACAAATACAACAGCTTTTATACAAAAAAATGTGTGTGTAAACCACATTACTGAATGTATTTTATTCAGAGTGAAATAACATATGTGTGTTTACTGTTAAAGAAGTTCAATCAGCATTAAAGGTGATCCAGACCATTATAAGCTAAGAGTGCTCCTTGTGCCTTGTCAGAAGGCTTTAATATGTTTGGTGTACCCATATTCTTTATCATGGTGTACAAATCATTGGGCGACTCAAATTTGGTTTTACTCATAAGCATAGCAGCTATACCAGAGACGTGTGGACTAGCCATACTATTGAGGGATGAATGTTAGCTTTTGGAATGAAAGCTCGTTCGATATTCTACCTTGTTCCGTCCATGGTAATAGTCTTGTTTTCAAGCCAATCACTAGTGATATTGGCCCCCGGGGCGTATATACTAACACACTTTCCAAAGGATGAAAATGGTGGTATGATATCTTGATAGTTTGTAGCACCAATAGCAAACACATCAGGGTTTGCAGACGGTGAGTAAGCACATGCATCATCACCCGTGTTTCCGGCAGAGACAAAGACGGGTATATCGTAATCTTGAACGACCATTGATAGGGCTTCGTCTATCGAGCTTGAGCGTGGCCCACTAAGAGAAAGGTTGATTATACTGTGACCAGGCTCGTGAGTTTCAACAATATACGAAATAGCTATATGTTTATTTAAGATTTGTTATCCTATATTCACCCTTTATTACATACCTTGAAGTAAAGCAGAAGTAGTGCCATCTCCATTTCGGTCAAGTATCTTGATTCCATGGAGAAAGGATTTTTTTGCAACACCAAATGCTTTACCACCAATAATACCAGCAACATGTGTGCCTTTGAATGATAAATTAAGTTTATATGAATCAAGAGCAAAAAATAACGTACCATGACCAGAAAAATCTCCGGAATCTTCATAACTAATAAAGTTGGCTTCCATCAAGGCTCGCCCTTCAAAGTCAGGATGATTTTCATTTATTCCTGAATCCAGGATATATACATGTATCCCGGTTCTAGATGTTGTGTAAGTTTTCATACTAGCTTTTATATCTTACTACGGCTTCTTACCCAGCAGTATCATCTGCAGTATAAACTGTAAGGTCCCGTAGCTCACGGTGGTTTATACGAGCTATACCCCAGCTAGGAACGTTTACTTGAGTAACAATTCCACGCTTGGTCTTACTGTTTGGCACTTTGTGCATTACGTCTTGCATATAGATCTTTGGATCAGCAGTGGGAGGAATAAAGGGTGCTTTATATATCTGGTTTTGCTCTATGAATTCTATATCATCTATATTGCTAAGATAGTTTACAAATTGAGAGTGAAACGAGCCTGTTATGGCTTTATAGTTATCACCAATCTGAATATCTTTTAGTGATTCCGGTTTCATATCTTCATCGCTTGTCTGGGGCATATCACTCATCAGTACATGTTTTCCTTTAAGTGAACTCTTTAGACCTTCTTGAAAAGTTTTGTAATGCTGTTCAACAAAAGCGGTTGATTCAAATCCTAATGATTAATAAGTAAAAAGGTAAGGCGTATAGCAGGTAGATAGTTCTTACCAGTGATGTTTTTAATGCTCGGTGCCTTAAACTTTATGATGTGTGTAGGTATACGACGGATATTTTCTTGTTTGGAGATGTCGACCGCTGAGTCACTATTTTCATTTATAGCTATACAATAGCTGATACCAAGCAAAAGGTAGGTGGTTGTAAATGAGAGAGTGAGTTTCATTCCGATCGGAAAGAAGAACAAAACAGAAAGAGAAAGAAAAAACAAAGGACACACTTTAGTACATTACGTACATACCAGCCAAAAGTCCTCGGGTTATTAAAATGCTTTTGGTAATAGCATCAGGCTAGTTCTGTTACTTACTAGCTGATATGCCCAATTGTTTATCTAATTTGCTCTAAAAAAAAAGTATCATACAAGTGTACAAACTAGTCATTCATTGGAATTATGGCAAGTCTGTGCAAAAGGAAAAAAAAAAAAAAAAAGACAGCATCAGTAAGATCATCTTGCAACATTCATGGTAATTCAACGATATATCAAACCTCGGCATATGTATTGTTATGTCTGGATTAAAACGCTAGCCGCACGACATTTTATTAAAAGAAAACTTTACTAATAATAGCTATAATGGATTGATCCTTTACCGCATCTCCATATAAATTAGCTACTTTATTTATAGCCATTTTGTATCCTTTGCCCATATTGAACCGTATCTCTGTGCAAGGAAGACGCAGATACCACTTGCTGCGCTGATGAATGCGAGGATCGTCATGGACCAGCCATTTCCTATAGCGGGTATCAAAACAGGGGCTACTAGTGGTGTAAATCCGGCAGATAAACATCTTAACAAGTTGGCTGTGCTCATTACAGAAGCAGCATATTTGGGGTAAATGTCCGATATATACGTATTACTAGGGGTTTGCACTAGACCAACGCCCAATCCTACTTTATAAACATGAATAAGTTCTATTCTTGAGCCTACTTTCTCATAACTTACACAAAAATAGGCCAAACAGACATGATACGACATGGATACCAAAATGCGAACACCAGCCATATACTACTTCTCCCATGGGCAAAATAATAATACCGAGCCAAATGACGCTTAGCCGTGCCTCTGGTACGTTCTTTTTGACTATTGCGCGATCAGACAAGATACCTGACAAGACTGCACCAATAGCGTTCCCAGTACCATTTGCCAAATAGGAAAGCCCTATTTGTGAGCTTGTAAAGTGATAATGTGTTGACAGTTGCTGGGGTAAACTTGCTATCATAAAGTACATAAATCCATAAGCAATAGAGTAAGGCGTTGTGGCGAAAATGACGGAAAGCTTCGTTAAGAATATAAATGGTTTCGACATGCTCTTCAACAAAGGCTCTTGATGAATAAATCTCTCTTCACTGTCTGCTATCTTTCTTTTTTTAAGAATGATGGCAGATGTTTCGGGCACAAAAAATAAAATGAGTGTAAAGATAAAACCTCCTAGAGCGCAGAGTATCCAGAAAATGAATCTCCATCCGATATCTAAATTTAAATTAATGAGTAACTGTTTACCAAGTAATAACGTTCAAACCAATACATTGGTTTATGTATCCTCCCGCGATAGGTCCAATGACGGGGCCAATGAGCGGCCCAAGAAGAAAAAATCCCATTGCATTGCCTCGTTCCTGTTGGTCAAATAGATCAATAACAGTGCTAATTTACAAATGTATATGAGTAAATTCTTATGGTTCATAGGATGTGGCATACCCTGCGCCTACTGCTTGTGAAGCGCTTGCTCCAGTCGCTTGAAGCGCTCTCATTGCTATGAAAAGTCCAACGGATCTGGATAACGCACAACCAACAGTGGCTGCTATGTATAAGGCTGTAGATAAAATGTATATGATACGCCTTCCGTATCTCTCAGAGAATGTAGCCCAAAACAGAGGCTAGTATAGAAAATGAATATAAGAGACTAAGCCATTTATAATCTATATACCATTAAGCCAATAACAAACACATATAATGATATAGTTGCATTTATAGTAATGTTGGTTGTGTGAAAGGTTTGGCGTACTTGTGCAATTGCAGGAATCTAAAGTCTGTTATGGTCATTGATTAAGATAGATCAGGTATCTCGCTATTTACATAAATGGAGCTCGTTACAGGGCCTAAAAAGCCCTGCATTGCAACTATTGTTAAAATGAACCACTTTCTCTTGAAGGACATCTTGTCCTAAGTATAAAAAAGTGTCAATTACATCTTTGTCTACATGTTTATATCTTTTAACCTTCACAGAATATAAATGTAAATCGTCAACAGCTTCTTTTTCAGCATTTTCTTCAGAAATAACCGTTTGTTCTCTACTGCTTTCTTCGTATGGATTCTTTAAAGCATTAGATTGCTCGTTTGCAGATGAAGAAGCATCAGCTGTAATCATTAGTCAATACTTTTAAACGAGAGCTATAAAGTAAAAGCACCTATAATTGTTCAACTTGCGGTAATTATAGGCCTCAAAAATTTTAGCCAGTTTTAAAACTATTTGCTATCTATTCTAATGTGGTCACTGATGAACTACTCCGTACAGAGCATGTGTTAGCCTCAGAAATATATGTACGTTTGCTTCTGTGCCTTGTAATGCTTGTATTTCTATTAGCTTCAGATACATTATTTCAAGGTAAATCAAACATGTAATATTTCCGGTGATGCCGAATTCTCACAACACCACCGTACTTTTCGATCTTTTTTTCCTTTTTTCTCCTGATTTGAAGTAGAACTTGTTTTTCAAATCGATTAACTAACTAGATAATAAGGACATCGGCATTATGTCTTTACAGAAAAAAAAAAAAAGGAGAGATGAGATAACTTTAATTGGTTTGGATGTATTTTATGCGTGGTGACTGTAGGCATATGTAACTTTTGTATGTTGCCAAGTTTAGGATGATTTAATGGAAGGGTTTTTCCTTTTGAATGTTCTTGCTTCTCTTGGCTTATTATTCAGTTTAATAGTAACAACAATGAGCAGTAAGCTTTACACTAAGAATTATACGTTGATCATGGCAACAGTTGGAATAGAAGTATCCTCTGGAATGCTCCGAACAAATACGCCAAGAAGAAATGAGCCCTATGAAGAGCATTATTATCTACGTAGGTAGTTATTCCTCTACTACAGTTTTAATGCTATACATTTGTCCTTATTTCTTGCATTTGAACATATTACGTCAATAAGCTCGTGCTATTGTATAGTCTTGACAGCGTGTTTGTCGATAAAACTAAAAGCTACTGTTATTATGTATATCACACAAATGATGAGCAGTGTTCCAAAGCAAGTGGATATTTATCTATGATGCTTATTTGCATGTGTATGTGCGTGTGTATACTTTGAGCATACAAGTATGTTGTCTTTCAATACGTCATCTACTTTTACGTTAAACTTGCAGATACACTAAAGCTATCTACAAGGTATAACAAACTATGTATTATAATCATTTATGCTTTGGACAGTAAAATCACTTCTCTGCTTATTGCTTTTTCCTTTGTAAATAAGAATGATGCTGCTGACAAACTTGGTCATCATCCTTTAATTTAGCCCAATGAAATACACTACAGTGTAAGATTCAATCCCCGGTAAGACAATTAAAGCGTCTTTTTTCAACGCGTTGTAGGTTCCTTTTAACAAAAATGTATCCAGCAGGAGAACACCCCAGTTATCAATACTCAAATCAAGCTTATGGAGCGCCTTCCAAATCTCCACCTCCTTTGCAACATCCTGTTCCTCAGCATCCAATACCAGATTTTGGACCTGCTGTCCATCAGAATGCACCATCTCAACAGACTTACTACAACCAAAGCCCCATGATGCAGCAACAACAACAACAACAGCAATATGATCCTAATGCTTATACTCCTCAACATTCACAACATTCAAGCAATCTATACAGCCACTTCGGCTTTAATGATCCTGCTGCTCAAATGGGTATGCAGTTTGCTGGTACAGCTATGGCTCAAGGGTCTGCATATGTTGAAAAGAATGTGAGTAGAGTAAAAGTAGATTGCATTTCACTGACATAGGCTACATAGTTCAATAGATGGGTAAATATGCCTGCATTAAGGCATTACTTTAATGTAAGCAATAGTTACGTTATGAACAAGTTAAGACTATTACTGTTTCCTTGGAGAAATCATGTAAGATTATATCATGAATAACGACGAGTCACTTATGCTTCATAGTCGTGGAATCGTTTGATAATGAGATCAGAGACAGGTCAAATGGAAGGGTTTAAACCGCCAAGAGAGGACTTAAATTCACCTGATCTGTATATTCCTGGTAAGACATCATAAATATACATGGATGTAGAACTTGTTTGGCTGATGCATTTTAAAAAGTAATGGCCGTTGTAACATATGTGCTACTTTGCGGATTAACCGCTGGGCTTGAGAACAAGTAAGTGAACCACTTCCAAGTTGTTTAGAAAAGGAGAAGCTGATCATTTTATAGATTCCATCCAGAGTTATTGTATATTGCTGTATCCACCTCGGTTGCTGTTGTGTTTTGGGAAATTGTCTACACACGCTTAGGCTGCTATTTCCTAAATATACCTTTTGAGGCTTCCATGCTTGACTTACTCTCTTACTATGGTTACAAATTCGTTGGTATCATTGTTACGGATGTTGTCAAACTATTAGGGGGCAAGGGCTATAGCACATGGTTTGTGTTCTTTTACACGGGTCTATCCGTCAGTTTCTTTTTGGTAAGTTATAAATTGATTATATGGATAGAGATATTGATATTATTTAGCTTCGCTCTATGAGATATGTCATTCTACCTGATGCTGCTGCGGGGCCTTCTACCCTGAATCCTCAACGTAAACGACGAATGTGGTTTTTGTTGACAATTGCTTCTCTTCAGATGGTATACATGTTCTTTTTAATAAACTAAATACCAGAGCTTTTCTTTGTATATCAATAAAATATGCAATCTCTGTTTATTCATATTCATCAGGATCTTCCTCTGCTGGAGGCATGAATTGTTCATCTGATCCTTCACACAGATAAAACAACTTCATTGCTTCCGATATAGCACTCTGGAAATCTAAAGATGCATCAGGGTCACTGCAAGGTGCTATATGTTTAGGTAGAAGTGAGGTTTGCTCCAACTCATTAGCAGTTCGCCTACGCTGATCATAAAATACACTTAAAATACAGTGTGTTTCCTCACTCAAGAGAAGCTGTAGCGCATTCTTGAGCACATTATTATTGCTTGACTCAGTCCAAAAATATGTAACATCTACAACAAATAGCGCATTAGAAACACAAAACGATATAATATAGGCTTACATTGGTTGCTAGGACATGCCATGGTTTTCTGACTCTGATGTATAACATAAATAGGATAGTCTTCATTTCCTGCATCACTGCCTGGAGGAAACACACTGTAGGCTAAAGTGTCCTTATTTTCGGTATCTTTCAAAGGCTGATCGGTAACTATGATCGCTCTAGAAATCCAGGTACCAAATTCACCTCCGTTTGGCAACCAGATTGAAGGCAAGTAATCCATCCCAGTAATCAATTTAGAACAGTGAAATTCTTGACCAGTCTTTGTTCTGATCCCTGTGCACTCATTCGTATCGTCATTGACTAGAATTTGATCAATAGGGTAGTCCAATATATAAATACCACCATAGACAGCACAAATTCTGTTATATCTGGTTTAGAATAACCTTTATAAATCTCCGTATGAACTTACCTGCAAAATGCTTGAGCAATCTCGCTAGCTCCTCCATACAGTGGGCACAGGTAGGCACCTTTTCCAAAGCGGCCCATAGACTGTACAAATTTGTGAGTATGTTCAATGCCTACTCGTGTTGGAACTTTATGAAATGATCAGTAAAAAATAACAATAAAAAGATAATCAGTTACCATTCATATCAACAAGAGCGATTGCATAAGCAATTGCATCAAGTAGTTTTCCTGTTATTTTGAACTTGTCTTGTAAGAATTCACCATAGGTTGATTCTGTCTTGTGTTAGACTAATAGCTTGCTTAATTATACATAATTACCTATAATTTCTGTTTTTCCTTCTTTGTATTCCATTGCAAACGTCAAAAACTTCATCAACTTTCGTTTATCAACAAGGCTCACTGATTTGCTAGTGAAGACATCTTCTTTTGACCCAGGCACCTACCACAAGTATTAATCACTTGTCTTAAAGAATAGCGCAATTACCTTCTCAAGAGCCTTCAGAGTTTCATCATACATATAAATATCACCCACATTTTCAAACTCGAGATATCGTCCTACTCCACTACGGATTAATATTTCAACCAGTTCTTCTCGCGAACCAAGTAATTTGGGAGCTATATCCAAGTTGTATGATCTTGAGCTCTTCAATAGTTTGTTAAATGCAGTCATCAGACAAATGGCCTCATAAGGGTCCTCTGTCGTAAAGAATTCGAATAGATCTTTATCTGATTCATGCATGTCTGATATGAATGCATCTATGGATAATCCTTCAGCGATCTTTGACTTGATATCATCTTTTTCTTCCTGAGAGAGTAAGGTTGGAAATAGTTGAAAGTTTACGTTTTTATAGACGGAAGAGTATTGTTTGTTGTATGTTGTTTTAGCCGGATCTTTAATACACGTGTCAGGTGATAAGGTATTTATGATATATATTCTTTACCTGACTGCTCTATGTCGCGTGCTATATATTTCATAAGTACACACAGGCTGTATATAAACATAGAGTATTTACTTACTGCCTTTATGGTTGCTGTAAAACCGAGCTATTTCTCTAATTCCAAACGTGCTCCAATTACTGCCATAATGTTGATTGTTATCAAGATGAAGAACCTTTTTACCCACTCTTGCAAGAGATCTATACAAGATTTATTTCACATCATTTTTATTGCTTTTAAATCTCACCCTGCTAATACAGATTCTATTAAGCCTGTTCCTAGTATAATGTAGTCAAAGCTAGTTTCTTCTAAAGTGTCAGACATTCCACAATAATAAAAAAGAAAGGGAGTGAATTATTATTTTTATTCTTTCTTCTTTTTATTTGATTCACAGACAATGTCCAAGAGAAGAAGAATGACTAAACAAAAGACAAAGAATGCGACAAAGGAAATGACAGACAATTATGCACCCGTTCAACTAGAACAAGCAGAACTAGCTAAACAATTAGAACGTTATATCGTGGAGTTCGAAACTAAAGTAGATCAACTGAAATATAAGCTGCTTGATAAAGAACTGGTCATACTCTTTGTCGCAAACTTACACCCACGCTGGAAGCGCCTTCTAGAGCCAATAGAACACACGTTTCAGCATTGGAAAGATGCAGCGAGCATAGCCGTCTATCATTGTGTGAAAGTGTCTGCTCTATTAGGGAGTGAGCGTACTGACAAGAGTCCATTGTTTACATCACAAGAATCAATTGATATTCTTCGTTCAGGATATTTTGCTTCAGAGACACATCCTGATATCGAGCGGCATCCGAGAGAAAGTTCAATACAGCACTTGATTGATACATCCATGACAACATTGATGCCAAAGAAACCAGCAACACCTTCTCCACCTCTTTTGACAACGGAAATAGCAACTGTTTATAGTGAAAAGAATAAAATAAAAGAAAAAGATAATGAAAAAATGATACCAAAAGAGCACACAAGAAAGCCAGATGCGAAGAAAGAAGTACAGAAAACAGAAAAGAAAAAGCCAGCTCAAGATGATAAATCAACAAAACTAAAGCAGACAATCAGCAGTACAACACACAATGACAATAACATTAAAGAAACGAACAATAAAATGTGTAATGACAATGATAGTAAAGAGAATGATACCAAAGACGGGAGTATATGCTATAAAGTACCAGAATGTTATAAAGGGGTCAATCTGATGTTTCTGGAGCTAACAATAAATGGAAAGACAGTCAAAGGCTTATTATCTAAATTATCTTGGGGGTGCTCGGCTATCTCAATTGATTGCGTTAAAAGACTAGGCTTAACCCTATCAACCTCTAATCTATTCTGCATAAACACAGATTTTGGTATAGTGAATTCTCTTGGATTTGTAAAATTGCCAATATCACATCCAGCAGAGCCTAATATTAAGTCAGAATTAATCACACAAGTTGTACCGTCGATATACAACGGTAAGGTTGAACTCATTTTAGGATCAGACTTTTTCTTTAAATTCAAGCCGACATTAAATATAAAGAAACGAGCTATTCGATTTTTGGACAGAGAGGCGCCTTATATTGTTCATGGATTGACTTGATAATAAAACATTCATTTAAGCCATGTATTACATTTGTATTACTTTCTCCCTTCCTTTGTCTCCTTTCTCTATTTTTCTCCCTTCTTATTAATTATTCGAAGCTTATTAAAGTGTTCACAGCAAACAGTATTAATCAAAAGTCGATACTCTGATTTACTCTCAGTATCGTTGGTTGATTCATGCAGATTGCAGTAGTTTTAGAAAGTAAAAATAGATGGCGCTCTGTCAGGGAATCAAATGTTGTACACTCTGCTCGTTTGTAGCAAGGATCTCTGCTTACGCCGTTGAAGCCTTAAGCATCCTGGGAGTGAGACTTGCGAGCGCTTTTGCGATTATCAGTCTGAAAAGAGGTAGGTGATAAGAAGAGTCATAAGGCTGATCCACCCTCTGCAATTGGCCATTACAATTGTTTTTGCTGCCTCTTCCATACCATCAGAATCTGGAGGGAAGGGTCGTTTTTGGAAGGGCTGATGTTGTCATGGTGACTCAGGAAGACGGGTGGCAGCGGAGGGATTGGCGGCGGGCAGTTCAGTGGCAAAGGAAGCCGGAGCTAGACGCTCATGGAGAGAGACGTTTTGTTGCTAGAGTCGTGCTATTTTAGCCTTGGTGGCAGAAAGTTCTGCTTGTAGTTGCTTCAATGTTTGCATAATATGGATACACTTTCCAATAAAGATAAAAAGTATCGAAAGTAATGGAAGGCGACATTGATTTTCGGAGCCTGCGGCTATCTGAAATCACTGCATTATCTGCTTTTAAAGTTTCTTTGGAATTTGTGGAGCCTCATTAAGCTGAATTTTCAAAGTCAGGAAGGCACCGCATTGAATTTTTATAGTCTACTTTCTCTCTCTCTCACTTACTCTCTCCATTGCATTAGGCATTGCTCATCACTGCATCATGTTTAGTGGCGTTATGGAAGCGATCCAAGGCATTCCTCGGAGCGATGTTGACCTTCGTCTCGAAATGCTGAGGACGGTTCAAAAGTTATTTAAGCTAGACGGATCAAGTTCTGACATATTTAGGCGAGAAGGCGGATTTGTCAGCTTAGTGTCAATGATCATCGCCTTGGAAGGGGCCTTTGAAGATCCACAACGTTATTTTGGAGACGATAATATCACTTTGGAAGAAGCTACAGACAAGCTTATCTTGTTGTTGCAAACCATCTTTAGCATCTTGGCAGAATCTATGCACCGCTCCGAGATGAACAAACAGTACTTTATGAAGGACGTCGGTTACAGAGCAATCGAGAATGCTATTATTTTGACAGGTGCTCTTGTTCAGAGACATATAGCCGAGCGTGTATTCGGTATCTTGCTTAGTTTTGTGATTGAAAGTGAAGCAGTTTTAGATATCTTTATATCAGTGACCAATGACCAAGATAACACAAGTGGCTCGGCAGAGGATGAGATGTACGTGGAAAAAATTGAATCGATGCTGAGCCAGTCGACAGTAGTTTTGGCAAATCCCGAAATTATACCCACCATACTACATCTTCAAAAGGCAGCTTCAGCTCATAAACAGCTCTGCCGTGCTGTTCTAAGCGCTCTCTTCGCATTATCTCAAGCAAGTCGAGGAAATCAGGTCAAACTGAATAGAAGTGGACTATTATTGGCGTTGCTACAAAGGGTATTTCCAGATAATGAAACGGAGGATGTGGAAGAGGATCAGGATAGAGGGATCATGCTCAACCTGATGAAGAATTTAATGAATATGGGTATCAGTTCCAATGAACTCCGTTATATATTCAAGAGATTTGATCTAAGCACAGAAAATAATCAATCAAGCGACGTGCTGGATTTGATATTACATGGTGCATCTGGAAGTCGGTGGCCAGGGTTTATCCAGTTCAATGATCCCACCAATTATCTCGAAATCCCACAGCTTGCCAACTTTCCACCTCCTAATCCAGGTTATACACTCTTGTTCTGGCTACATATCGAAAAGCAAAATGATGTATCTAGCTTGCCTTTATTTAACGTATGGAGTGATCAACAACAAGTGTTTAGAGTCTTCATTGATGCCAGATCAAAGATGCTGCTGGTTCAGTCTTCTTATTCAAAACAGCCAGTTCTCTTCAAATCATTCGAGTTTCACGTCGGATTTTGGTACCATCTTGCTCTTGTTCATAACAAATCACGACTCTCTCCTCGACTGAGCTCTATCAGCATGTATGTAAATGGAACCTTTATTGAGAAAGTGGCATGCTCCTATATCCCACAGTCTTCCATATCTTTTCCACTTAGAGCAACCATTGGTTATGCACCAGGAAACATCTTAAAGAAACAACACTTGATATGGAATCTTGGGCCCACATATCTTATACAGGATACCCTAGAAAAGGAAACAATCAATTTGTATTTTAGCCTAGGACCTCGTTATCGGTCTTTATACCAAGACTCTTTACGTCAATTTCAAACTTATGAAGCAACGACATCACTTTATTTGACAATTCGCAACATGTCAAAGGGTCGACGTAGTGACAGTTCGGATCAACAATTATTAACGAGCATACTTGATGGATCTGCTTTTCAAATGGTTCCTGAAAATAAAATTGTGTTTGCTTTCTCTGCTTACAACACACTTAGTGAAGGCGCCTATAGTGGGTTGACTTTGACTGGCATGAGTTTGGCTACACGGCAAACTATTATTGCAGAAAATAATAACTCTAGAATGATCATCAATGCTGCTGTTCCCAAGCTGGACATTGCAGTCTATAGACCAAATAGCATGGGATACTTGATTGGAGAATTAATAGTTGCATATCCGCTTGGTTTGGATGAATCTATATGTAAAATTGGTGGTTGTGCAGTTGCCTTGAAGCTGATTGAATACTCACAGGTAATATTTAAGTATTGACTGTTGCTATGAATACTGACATTATATTATTAGACTGCGCAGAATCTATGCAAAGCAACTGCATTTCTATTTGAAACCATTCGATACTCTTGGCGTAATTCTGCAGACATGGAGCGTTGTCATGGCTATGAAATATTAGCTTACATTTTAAAGCAAAAGAGAGATATAATTACCTTGGAGCTGCTTGAGCTCTTATTGGTTTTTATAGGAAAAAACGCACAGCAACCAGAGTAAGATAAAGTGAAAAGCAGTAAGGGGTAGTAGCTAACACAGACTCTTTAGGAACTCTATTATTAACAACCCCTTAGTATATCGATATGTTGTATTAAACTTTGAGATTTGGAAGAAGACTTCACTTGAAGTGCAGAAAGCACAACTGGATCAATTTAACTTGTTCTTAAGCACTAGCAACTTTAGAGCCTTTAATGTTAAGCGGTTACAAAAAATTCGTGAGTATGGGAATAACGAACGAGATAAAGTGCTAACGTTCTATGAGTAGATCTTGTGAAGAAGCTTCTCTTGGCTTTTCGTATGAATATCTATTCCAAGGAACTTGTGCCGTATGTTGTAAAAGCATTAAAAGCTGTCATGCTAAGCAATTGGGATACTGAGGGTATCAGAGCCATAGCTACATTCTTAGCATCCACTGTGTCACAAGGTAGATGATAAAATTGCTCAATGCAGAGTATTGACCTTTTTGTTATATAGGATCCATGAATACTACAAAGAGTAACCGCTTGCGTTCAGATAGCACACATTCAACATCTAGTTCAGTAACAATAGACGAGGATATCCCTGCGACCACTGATATTCTTTTGGACGCTAGACAGGCAGGAAGATTCAAAAAGAATGCTCAAATATGCAATATTGTATTAGAAATGCTCCATGATATCCTGTGCGATAAGTCTATAGATCCAGAATATATTAATCGATTTGCAAGTACTATTACCAATAGATGGCCACTGTTATTCTTTGCGCCCAATACAAATCCGTTTACAGCATTGTTGGCCATTCGTGTCTTGGCAAGACTGTTTATTTCTCAAGGGCCAAGTTACGTTGGAAAGTTCAAGTCAGCCTCAGATGGCTTCTTGATATTACGCAAGTTATTACCTGCCTACTGGAACGTTGCGCAAATTCATGAGACACTCATACTGTTAATGATGGGAATGGATGTTGCCGATTATCCCCTGCAACCTTTCTCTGGTATTAATGGATTGCGAAGATGCCTGCAGAGCGATAGGGACAGCAAGATGGTTATCCCTGATGTACTTCCTATTGTCCTTACAATGTGGGATGAAGCAAGAAAAGCCGTTGGACTACCAAAGATTACAACATTTCCACCCATGTTGGGTCGTCCAGGTCGCAAGAGAAGCGACAGCATAGCAACTCAGACAATGAAAAGCAATGATGGGAAGGAAATGACTAAATCTACCATAAAGCAGACAATGGATGAATTCGTACTATTGGTAGACGAATTGTATGACAAAAGGCCTCTCTTTAAGGAAGTCTGTAACAAGCAAGAGACACAAGATTTCTTTATTCAAGTTTTGTTTCTAAACGTATGTCAAACAAATAGCATGCTAGCTGAAGACGAACTGAGTTCGAAAGATGCTGTGCTCGCGAATGCCGAAATAGATCCAGCTACACCATCATCTGCCATATCTTCTCCAGTGGATGGATCATCGTATTTTGGACGCAGTAGTGGTGCTGATGATACTGCTTCTATTGATAGCGCAACAATATCACCAGGAAGGATGATTAAGCGTGGCGGTACTTCCGCACTAACAACAAAGACATCACCACATGTTTCCAGACGTACACAGACATTTACATTGCGTCTGAAATCCGCTTCATGGAGTCAAAACAGCTTCTTTCAAAATACAAGGTCACTTCAAGAGCCTGTGTCTGACCCTTTATTAGATTTTGTTGTTAAAGTGTGTGTTCAATCCATATTCAACCCTCAGGATAAAAGCCAAACCGGTCTATCATTGGTCATGAACGCCTTCCCTCCCAGTACGCATGAACAGCAACTTTACTTTGAAAGCTATCTTATGACACACATTGCCCAAAACGTGAAAAGCGGACTACAACTGGATGAAGAATTGCTTTTGGATCAACGTATCTTGAACAATGTAGCTAAATTTGGGCAAATTGCAGCCGATGCAGCTATCCAGGGTCGTTTTAGAGTTGGAGGTATTGAGCAAACTTATGATCTTCTGGCTTCTATTCTTGAAATTCTGCACTCTGACAGTCTTTACAGCCGATGCAGTGCAAATGATACCTCAATAGTCACTATTTATAGATCGTTTAATAGAATGATATTGGCAAAGATTTCTGATTTGGAATACGGAGACAATCCAATGAAAGTAGCTGCTTTCCTAGATTATTGTATTCATCACCAAAAGATCATATTAAGCGCAAAGAATACAGACGGCGAGTTTCTGAGGTGCTTTTGCTATCATTTGTACTACTATTTGCAGTCAACTAATGGACAAGTTAAGGATGCTGCTGCGAATATATGGAAGCTGCTCCTCTTACAAAAGCCTGAGGACATAGCCTTGTTATTTGCTGTTCGAATCAAGGGCTTTGAATGCGATGACCTGAACGATGGGTTTAGACAGATGCTGGAAATGGACCTAAATTCGTTCTATACCTGGTTAGACTCAAGAAAGGTGGAGCTCAATGTTTTGTTTAATGAATATGTTTGTAAATCATGGGAGCAATTCATAGTTCAAGAGCTAAAGAACAGCAGGGAAATGTTGAAAAATTATGTAGCAAGACGTATAAACAAGCTGAGAAGAATACAGAGACGCGAGAGCCATGAGCGCGAAGTGCTAAGTGAATATACTAAGAAAAGCACCACTTGGTCCCAAGAGATTCAAGAAGTAGAGACAAATCGATTTATGAAGGCGCTACAGGACTTTGAAGGGCATGAAAACTTTATTCATAATGAATGGATCCGAATCTCTGAAGATTTGACTCGTGAGCGTGCCATCTGGGGTCCTGAGAAAGCGAGGAATATCACCTGGAGACTAGATAATACTGAAGGACCAAACAGAATGAGAAAAAGACTACAGTGTGTTTCTAATGTGACACATCAGCCATATCTTCCTAAACTGGCATCTCGCTCTAAGCTGTCTCCTTTATCAACATCAGTCGGATCAAGCCTTAAAAAGAAAACAGCTGCAGAATCTAAAACAAGTCCAAAAGACAGCGCTCAACAAACAGAAAAGGCTTCAGCCGATTCAGATCATAGCCTAATAGACGATGAATTATCGGATAGCCATGAAGATAATGACGAGCAATTGTTCTATGAAGAAGACAAAAGTCGCAAAGTTCTCCGATTGCTTGATCAAGGAGATATGGTATTAGATGTATATAATGTCAGTCAAATAGCCGGAGTGGATGCATGTGAGGGCCTACTGCTGCTTTGTAACAATAATATTTACTTGATCGACAATTTCTTCCAACGAAGTGATGGCGAAGTTGTGGAAATATGGGATGTGCCTAAAGAAGAAAGAGACCAATATTTACTGCTTATCGCAAGAGCAGCTGGAATGGAAACAGAGCAACTGGAGAATACAACAGGTGAACATACTTGTAGAAAATGGTCAGCTGCCGATCTTCGCGATGTCTTTAAACGTCGCTTCCTGTTTCGAGATGTAGCACTTGAAATGTTTTTCAAAGACGGTCAAAATGCTTTGATTACAGTTGCCCTCTCGGAACGAGATGAACTCTATTCCAAATTAGTAGCTCGTATAGAGTCTCATGAAGAATCAGCTAATACCATATTCCAAGGTGAAATTGAAAACACATCAAGTCTTAGCAGTACATTTAGACTATCAAGCTTATTTGGTACGTCAACACTGAATGACTTGGTCCAAAGATGGGAGCGAAGAGAGATAAGCAATTTCCAATATCTTATGTATCTAAATGCGATCGCTGGTCGCTCATATAACGACATAACCCAATACCCCGTTTTTCCTTGGATCTTGGCAGATTACAAGAGTGATGAACTAGATTTATTAAACCCAAAGACATTTAGAGATTTAACCAAGCCTATGGGTGCACAAACGGAAGAAAGAAGACGAGAATTTGAAGATCGATATAGACAATGGGGCGAGACAGGCGACCCGACACCTGCCTTCCATTATGGCACTCATTACTCTTCTGCAATGATCGTTTGCTCTTTCTTGATCCGTCTAGAGCCTTTCACTCAACACTATCTCAAGTTACAAGGAGGTACGTTTGACCATGCCGACAGACTTTTTGATTCAATCGGCAAAGCCTGGGACTCTGCTTCCGAAAAAAACATGGGCGATGTACGGGAACTCATTCCGGAGTTTTTCTATCTACCGGACTTTCTTGTAAATGTAAACAAGTTTAATTTTGGAGTCAAGCAAGGATCTGGTGAAGCAATTGATTCAGTTGTATTACCTCCTTGGGCACATGGTGATCCAAAGATATTCATACAGAAGCATCGTGAGGTACTTAATATACGTTGCAATGAATGCCAGAGGTTTTTTCTTAAAAAAATATATATATTTAGGCACTTGAAAGTGATTATGTTTCAGCAAACCTACATCATTGGATTGATTTGATATTTGGATACAAGCAACAAGGAAAAGCAGCTATTGAAACACTGAACGTATTTCATCATGTCTCATATGAAGGAGCTGTTGGTAATGTAACCACAAGTGTATTTTAAATGTATATTAAGGTCTCTTTAGATTTGGATTCGATTACGGATATAGTCGAAAAGACTGCTACCATTGGCATCATCAATAACTTTGGACAAACCCCTCGTCAACTATTTAAAAAGCCCCATCCTTCAAGAGGTCCTGCTGTAAGTGATCCATTAGCATTAGGTTATTATGTATTCCAGGAGCATCTTGAGAAGCTAGTTCAATCAGTTGCTCCACTACGAGGTAACATGACCGTACTTAGCGCAGCACATATCATTTACATAAATGTGTAGATATAAAACAGCAAATTGCAAGCATAGGCATATATAATGAGAGACTTGGCGTAACATATTGTCAGCAACTACTCATGCCTTCTGATGGTAACCGTTATATAGAATGGGGATTTAGTGATAACAGCCTTCGATTATACTCTACAGAAACCGGAAAGGTATAGATGAATGTGACATCTTGAGGCTATATTAAACTTTATTCTAGTTGCTGAACGTCTTTGAAAATATGCATACTGGATATATCAGTAGTGCTTATTTCATTGACTCAAGCACGCTAATTACAGGTGGAACCGATAGTGTAAGCCTTAGATATATACCTAAAGTTGAAGTTAACTGTAATTTTGTATAGCTTGTGTGTATCTGGAAAGTGAAAAATCAAAAGAACTTGGAGTTTGTATTATCTGAATCTTTGAAAGGTCATACAGATGTAGTGACAACCATAACAGCGTCAAGGCAATATAGCGTTGTAGTCACTGGTTCAGAGGTAAAGGCTAATAATCATAATACTGTACGAATCACTAATAAACCATAAAGGACAAAACAGCAATTATATGGGATCTGAATACTAAAAAATATGTAAATTCATTGAGAGGACATGAAAGTAGTGTTCAACATATAGCTATTAATCATACAACTGTAAAAACTTGTAACTATAGCAAACAATAAGTACTAATTTATTATATAGGGTGATATAATGACTTGCTCAGGAAATACCATTCGCTTATGGACCATTAATGGTGACTTGTATCTTACTAAATCAGCGTGTCCTAGCTCTGAATTCATCCAATCATGTATATTCTTTGAGGTATAACAACCACTGCAATAGAAAGAAGATAAAGTACTAATATAGCTCAAAGAGAAAACTCACTGAATGGAGCAATAAGGACCTGGTCATAACGGGTCATCGTAATGGCATTGTTAAATTTTGGTTAAAGCAAATCGAAGTGGATGTAAAGACTGGACAAGAAAAATGGTCCCTTGCCCTAGTTTATCAGATTAAACATGAGAATCGCTTTGATAAGGCTTTAGACAAGTCTGATATTGTCGCATTGGCAACCTCTAATTCCAAAAAAACTTTGTTTACTGGAAATAGACATGGGCAAGTCTATGCTTTTGTCTTGCCAGACACAACAGATAACTTTCACTTTGTGAGAGAAGAAAAATACAAGGAATGTATGACATGTAAAAAGCCCTTTACTGTTCTCGGTAAGTAATAAATCGTCTTGATAAAGTAAGCAAATTATAATACATTTACTTTGATAGAGAGGAGAAATCATTGTCGTACCTGTGGAGGTAAGAAAAGATGGCTATCTGACAATATGATTACTCATGTCTTATTCAGGTCTTTACTGCTCCTCGTGTATGTCTAGCCAGCCATTAGCTTGCCCTGATAAGTCAACCAGGGTTTGTAAATTCTGTTTTGAACGCCTTGAGCCTGTGTGTAATATTTGATTTTCAAATTAAAATAAAAGAATCACCAACAGGTCTTGTAGCCATGTAATTGCTCTCAACTCCATATCTTTTGATTCACCGCTGATTAGAGCTCAAAATGGACTATCACGTGACGATTCATAAAGACCACCATTTCCATTTCCCCACACTTTTTTCTTTTCTCTTCTTTGTTAATAAGCAGAAATGGAGTTCATGAGTGCATTAGGTTCACAGGAGGATGCCTATCGTCCTTCCTTATTTGAACTAGTTGCTCAAGATAAGCTGAAGGAATTGTTACAACCAGCTATACAATACGTTTTGGCCGTAATTATAACCCTTAAGAAATATAAAAAAAAGGACCCTTTATTAAACAATAGTGTAATACAGATTTATGCTCAACGGTACCCTCGATTATTATTAAGAATTGTAAACAACCATGAAGAATTTTATGCTTTATTGATGCTACTGATTGAACGCCATTATTTAAAAGAATGGAGTAAAGTGAACTCATGATACAAATGACTAATATTAAACAAACTTTATCAAAGGCGGATCTTTTGCTGAGAACTTTTATGGGTTAAAGAGAGTATCCTCATTATCAACAAACAATTTTGTATCTCCAATCAATTCAAAAGCTTCAAAATTATCAGCCAAAGATATCAACAGGTCTTTATTAGTCTTGGTTGGATTACCATATATTAAATGTAGACTTGATCTTTTATATCAACGAGTATCAGGCTCATCAGACATCATCTTGGACGAACAAGTGGAAATTGAAAATGAAGAATTGGCAGATAGCAACACAAAGACATCAAGAAAGCTATTGATTCGACTTAAAAGACTATTCAAGAAGATATATCCAATCATAAACTTTCTTTACCATATTTCAAACTTGGGATATAACATTGGTTACCTGTTTGGAAAGACAAAGTATTACACACCTTGGTTGCACTTACTAGGAATAGAGGTTAAGCGTATGAGTATGGATGATTATGTAAGTAAAGAAAGATGCTTTAGAGAAAGTACTCATCTTTTTCATGCAGCGTGCTTACTATGAAAAAACGGCTAATGGTACCAGTGATAGCATCTCATTGAAGAATCCATTACATGCTATGTCAATGATTTCTGGAAAAGTCATTGAATTCTTAAAAGTGTTATTACCAATGTCTATATTCTTTTTCAAGTTCCTTGAATGGTGGTACTCGTCAGAGTTTTCTCGTGGGAATGCTTTGAGAAAGGGAGAAGAAGGCGAAAATGCCATACCTCCACCAGAAAAAATAAAGGCAAGAGATATCATTGTTCACTAGATAGTAGTATCTAACATGCTTATTCTCTAGCCTCACCCTCAAGGCACTAGTGTTCCCTCTAGACCAAACACTTGTCCTCTATGTCTTACTAATCCTATCAACAATCCTACGGCCATGCCGTCTGGTTACGTGTTTTGCTATACTTGTGCATACCATTATTTACAGGAACACGGTAGATGCCCGGTCACTTGGATAAAGGTGTCGAAAGATCCCCAAAGTCTAGTAAAATTATACGCCGATGTATTGTAGAAAATAACAAAAGTTTTTATACCTGTCATTTCAAATGCCTAATTATGTATGCTTGATATAAGTAATTCATTTAATGTTTATCCTATTTCTATCAGTGTGTGAATAATTTCTATTAACTTGTATAAAAGTACAAGTTCAGAAGCATTGACGTTCGCTATGAATGGGTATCTCAAATACACTATTTCCAGAAAGAGATGTCGCGCTGACTTGTCGCTTTTTCGTATAAATTATATTATAAAAACTGCAAAAATGCGACTTTACTTTCTGAAAAGACTGTACAACACCAGATGTAGAATTAAAGGCCATACAGCATTTTGCTAGTATTTTCTCACCAGTTAAGAATGCGTACGAGCATGGGAATTACGTGATAAAGAGCCGTCTTGTAGTGGTCGAAGGCACATTGGCATACAAGCTATTTAAAGGCAAGGAACTTTATTTGTTTCGCTGCTTGCGTAGAATGCTCTTTAATGTAAAATATGACTATCATATTTACATTTAAAGAATTTGGGTCTTTGCTGATAGAGCTGACAAAATAAAATTAAAAGACAGCAATAAAAGCATTTCTTTTCATCACTTCTTGCAACGAAACAAATTTTATAAATTCGTATTCTACATCAAAAGATATGAAATTGGATTGACTAAACCTGACTCATTTATTATGCATATAGGGGAGAAGATTGAAATTTAATAATATCGCATTTGCAAAACATGTTCCAGAGGGTGTTATTTTTATGCAAGCGCATCATGAAGCTATCAGAATAGTAGTGTCCTCGACAAGATTTATTCATCTTCTTTTTTCTTTATTGGTTTTCTACGTGTATAAAAGCAGCTGTTATTACATGTATAAAGAATTGGTTGGGAATATATATATATATCCCATTTTACTATTTGTGTCCTCGTAAGATATTATAAGATCTTCAATGCAAATAACAAATTGGTTATGTGACTGCTAACGTACAGTAGCTGTACTTTATGCCCAGCCAGCAACAAGCTGGTTTTTTCCTATTATGTCATTTATAACACAGTTTACAGAAGCAACACATCAATTCCTCGATCGACACTCTGATCCAATCAAGCTTAGTCTAACAGCTATAGCTGCTTCTGCGCTAACGGCTTCGAGCATTCTAACATACCAAGCGAGCCAGCGTCGTCAACGAGCACGCACATTAAAAGAGGAATTGAAGGAAGCAGAGCTCAAAAAGCCTATCGATCTCACACCTGTCGGGACAGCATTGACACATCACATACCACCCACATTTACTGAGAATACGATTGCTGATCAACTAAGTGGAGTAACCGAGTTTTTTGGTAAGGAGGGAGCGCGTAAGGTGCGAGAATCTTTTGTGATTGTGGTTGGAGCTGGTGGTGTTGGATCCTGGGCTGCACTGATGTTACTGCGCTCTGGAGTCAAACGTATCAGGGTCATTGATTTTGATCAAGTTACACTCAGCAGTCTCAATCGTCATGCTGTGGCTACCCTCGAAGACGTAGGCACACCCAAAGTGCGATGTATCAAGAAACACTTTAAAGAAATCGCACCATTTGTACAAGTCGAGGATCATATTGACTTATTGAATGCAGATAATGTAGATGAGTTATTAGGAGGTATTTAGTAAAAAGACTAGCTTATAAGGTAGAAAAAGTTAATTTTTTTTTTTTTGAAAGGAAATCCTGACTTTGTTGTGGACGCAATTGATAACATAAACACCAAAGTTGATTTGATGAAGTATTGCTATGATAGAAAATTAAACGTCATCAGTTCAATGGGTGCAGGTGCAAAAGCAGATCCGTCACGAATTCAAATCGCAGATATTAGCGAGACATTTGGTAAGACATTACTTCTATTTAAAGATACAGTAAGCTTAGCTCAATATGTTCAGAGGATCCTTTGGCGAGAGCTGTTAGAAGAAAGTTGAAAAAACTGAATATACTCAGTGGAATTAAGGTTGCCTATTCCACTGAAAAGCCTCACCATGTTAAGCTGCTACCTCTAGGTAAAATACTTGATCTAGCTTGCAAGCATACATATTTACTTTTGTATAGAGGAGGAAAAAGTAGAAGACAGGGAAGAATTTGCTGCTCTACCTGATTTTAGAGCTCGCATTTTACCTGTTTTAGGAACTATTCCTAGTATGTTTGGTATGGCAATTGCAAGCTATATCACACTTTCTATAGCAGAATATCCGCACTTTGAACCACTTGCGATCAAGCTTAGAGAAGGACTATACGCTAGAGTACACAAGGAGATGATCACAAGAGAATACAAGACATTTAAAGAAAAGTAAAACGTGTAAAATAGAAAAGAGAGTAATATAACTAAATCAGTTGAGTAGGGTCTGCACATTGGATGTTCGCGATGTGGGATACATATTTGAAGAGATGTGGCATGGAAAGAGCGCTATCTCTGGACCTAGTGATAAGCTGTGCTTAACGAGATGGGATAAAACAAAGCCTATTGGTTATACAAATGCTGTCTGCATGACAAGAATTGAAGCTAATGAACATGACAGTTTACCTGAGAGTACAGACTTGGAAAAGCACTATGGAAAGGAGATTTGTGACCGGGTTAATGAACGATTTAGACAGGTAGAAGTTCAAAAAAGGACATGGGAAACAGTTTTGTAAATAAAAGAAAATGATCCTCATTCACAATGATGAATCATCACAGTCTTTTAATATATTTTGCTTGATATTGGACTTCTTTACATTTACGCTTGTATTGAATCGCTTTTTATCGGTGTGCTGCTCATAATTTGATAGCTGGTGCTATTTGACGGCATTTAATAAGGCCCCTGAACTAGGCAGATACATTGAATGGGAACAACTACTGAACCTATAATTTTGCTTATACATGGCACGTATTTTGGAAAAATATATGTGGTACAATGCTTAAATGGACGCTTATCACGCGAGACTTACGATCCTTTTGGTCAAATTACGAAAAGGAATCTTGAAGGGCATTCAACCAATGGTCATACATGAATAATTTGTTTGTGTTTCCACCATTTGTTACAAGTAAACGCTTGAGCGACTAGAAGCATTCACAGCCAACTGACATTTGCAGTTGTATGCGAGAATACACAGATATGTATACGCATTTTCAATAACCAGAAGTAAAGATCATAGCCATCTATCGTGGGAATCTCCTCAAGTTGAACTGAGATCCTTTCAACTGATGACAATCTCTGTTTTTTTCTGGTATCGCATCTCAGCTTCGAAAAAACAAAATATAGTGCTTAAGCATGAGACAAGTAAAAGATAGAACGGTAAACTTTTTTTTTTTGGGCAGGCTTTTAACAATAAAGACTTTACCTTGCTATCATTGACATCAATTTTATAAAAGCACTGATCATCAATGTTAGCTCCTCTTCTTTTTTGAATCACATGCGTAACAATAAATTTTGAGTATAATTTCAGCCTTTTTTTTATAACTTTTTTTTTATTCCCCCACTTTATGCAAGTACACAATGGATAAAGAGAAGCAAGCTGTTTTGATCATAGATGAAGCGAAAAGCGACAATCAAAAATTTGTCAATACACCAGAAGAGAAGGCATTTGTTCGTAAACTGAATTGGAAAGTGCTACCGTTGATCTTTTTTATTATAATGATTCAAGTAAAGATGATGAATATCAGATATATATGCTGAAATTTTTTTTCTTCAGTTTTGTGATAAATCAGCACTAAGTGTTGCAGCTGTTTTGGGCATATTCGACGATACACATATAACTGAAGACCAATTCAGCTGGGTGGGGTCAATATTTTACTTGGGTTATCTGATTTGCCAGGTGAGTGTAGTACAATAACAGGAATTGTGTGATCTGACTTGATGCACAGCCGTTAAATAACTACTTTATCCAACGATTACCTATTGCTCGGTATTTTGGCTCGGTTTTGGTCTTATGGGGAATTGTCATGACGATGACTTCATTCTGCCATGATTTTTCTCAGTTGGCTGCCTGTCGATTTCTGCTTGGTTTCTTTGAAGGCGTGAGTTATCCCTGCGTTTATATCCTATTGAATACATTATATCGACGATCAGAACAATCCTTTTGTTGGGGATTTATTGGAATCGGTACCGGAATGGGTACTGTTATCGGCGTAGTGATTGCTTATGGTATTGCACATATGGAAGGTATTGCGGGTATGCATGCCTGGAGATGGTAATATAATAGACTACTTGAAGAACACACATTAATGTAATATAGGGGTTATATCGTCTTTGGTATTGCTACTGTGGTCATTGGCGTTATTACATTCTTCTTTTTGATTGATGATACACATCACAGGTTTTTACATCTCAGTGAAATCGAGTTAGAAATTGTAGAGGAGAGAACTCGCGATAACTGCGTGGTGAGAAATACAACAATTAAGAAAGAACAAATGTGGGAGGCTTTAAGAGAGCCACGACTGTACCTTCTATTCTTTGCCAATATGCTCATTTGCTTAGAGAACGGAGGGCTCGTTACCTATAGCACCTTACTTGTCGAAGGCCTTGGGTTCTCTGTAAGTTTTTTGTTTTTTTGTTTTTCTTTGTTTATTTGTTTGGTAAAAGATGAAACCTAACTTTTATACAAAGAAATTCACTTCTGTCATTCTTCAAATCCCTAATGGCGTTGCAGCTGCTGTCTTTGCTATGGGAGCGGTTGTTATTGCAAAATGGAGACAGCAAAACATAATAACGGCCATTGCGATGTCACTAACATCTATGATTGGCTGTATTTTGATCATTGTTATTCCTGGTACAGCCAAACTGGTAGGATTTTATCTTACCTGGGCAATGACGGGTGTGATGGCGTTACTTCAAACAATAGTGTCAAACAATGTGTCAGGCTATACCAAGCGAGTGTTCTATAACGGAGTCAGTATGGTTGGTATGACGATTGGTAATTTTGCAGGACCACTTGCAATGATGGGCAACCAAGGACCACAAAAAACAGGAGCGCTTATTGGCTATGCAGTTGCAAACATTGTACTCATATTCTGTTTGGGCATTGTTTATGTGTTGATGAAGAGAGAGAATGAGGACAGAATACGTCGTCCAGCTGAAGCCAAAGTTGATGTATATTTGGATTTAACAGATCGACAGGACCGAAATATACTTTATAAGCTGTAGTCAAACTAAGTTATGATTGGATAATGATTGGATAATGATGTTCATACAAACACACTTGAAAATAAACTCTTTTGATTTGACATTAGTACAAAGTATGACAACATTTAAATGTCAGTCAGTTAAAATTTTATGCAAAACCATGTGCAATTAAAAGATTGGTGTACTTTCTCCTATTCTTTATTTCCAAATTTGCATTGCTGTGTGTGATTTTTAGACTACTTAAATCATCCATTTCGCGTCCTCTTTTTTAGCACTTTTCTTTTTTTCATTATTCTCTTTTCAACAAAATGACTGCACTCATTCCTGGCTCACCTCCACTTGGTCCTAATGAACCACTCAAGGTAGATACAGAGAGTATCGATACTTCTTCCCCTCCAAAGACACCTCCTGGTGAAAAAAATGGCCCTTATTTCAGAGGACAAACTCGTCAATTTCATCAAGGTGATTTCGAATCAGAGCAGCACTTTTATCCTCGTGTCTTGAATGCTCAAATTCATCCCTTGGTTCAATCTTTCTTTACCTTGGGTAACGAACGGATCATTGCTCGTTATACTCACTTGAATCCAAAGGTGAAGCCTGAAGTACTCAAGAAGGTCTTATCTTATTCACCCAAACATTTTCAATGGGCTGGTAAGTGTATTTTAATTTTCCGTAGCGTGTATGATAACCACATTTTAAAATAGGCTCGGATTTATTTAATGTAACTACTGCATCTGGTCATCGTCAAATGATCGTCATTGAAACCAATTCGTGTCCATCTGGCCAAAAGTCGATGCCGTTATTATCCGAGACAGATGAATATAATGAACATGGTGGTTATCGTGTCGTTATCAAATCGGCCTTCCAACAACAACTTGCTAAAGCTGATCCTAGCCTTGGTGGGCTAGCCGTTGTCTGTGACAAGAATATGATGGAATCTACTGGTTACGCCGCAGTCTTGGCAGATGTGGCTCAAGAGCATGTATGGCATGTGGAATGGCATGTAGGTGATCCTGATCCTGATGCCAAGTTTGTTGATGGCGTTCTTTATGTTCGTGATAAGGAAAAGCGTAAGTGACTTTGTTTGTATTGATCAAAAACAATAATAATAATAATCTTGTAGAATGGCATCCCATACGTGCTTGTTTCCGTTACGTCACCCAAAAACCTTGGAACCGCTTTCCTCTCAAGACAAAAACAGTCGTGATGAATCAAATCATTAGCTGCCTTGCTGGTGGTAGAAACAAGATGATGGCTGCGAGAGCCTATGATTTTTATAATTCCGAAATTGTCGATACTGGTTTAGCCATTAGGACACCAGAAACGATCAATAATGTCACACGTGGTGAAATCCCCTTGTGGATTCGATCGATGGGTGGACATGCAGTGCTCAAGGTCCCTTATAGTAATGCAGGTCAAGGAGTTTATACCATCACGAATAAGAAAGAACTCGATAACTTTTTGAGTCAAGATCATTATTATGACAAGGTTTGTTTCTTTTTTTGTGTGTGCATGCATTTACTTATCTTCTCATAGTTCATTGTTCAATCCCTTGTGGGTAATGCTTCCTGGTCAAGTGTGACAAGAACGGGCAAATTTTTCCATGTAGGAACTATTCCAAATAAGAAGAGCAACACTTATGTGAGTGATCTTCGTATGATGGTTGCCGGAAGCGAAGAAGGCTTCAAGCCTATTTGTATATATGGACGCAAAGCAAGGCTCCCACTCTTGGGTGAATTAAAAGAGGATGGTAAGTTTATTGTGTGCTTTTATAAGTGAGTTGCTCATGTATAGTTGCAGATGACACCTGGGATATGCTTGGAACAAACCTCTCTGTAAAATTACCCGATGGAAGCTGGACAACGGACACGTCAAGGCTGATTTTAATGGATCGTAAAGACTTTAATCAGCTTGGATTGGGTATAGATGATCTGATTGATGCTTATATTCAAACTGTGTTGGCAGTGATTGCTATTGATCGTATGGCGTCAAGACTTATGGCTAATGGAAACTTTGATTACCAACTATTTGAAAGTTTAAACCCTGATAATGCTCTCTTGAGCGAAATTAAGCAAGCAAACCCTGAAGATTTTTAATCTTCTTTGTACACACATTATTACATGCACACACACACGCACACAAACATATATACATATAACAACAAACATTTCACAACCTATTTTCATATATATAAAACATATATATACTCTCTTCAGAAATTATTGGCATAATATAAGCTTAATAACACTTACACTTTTGTTGATTTTCTATGTCTTCTTTATTATTTAAAAGATAACATGTAATAATATATAAAATCAGTTTGACATTTTTGAGAGAACATAAATGTGGTCAGCGCTTATAAATAACACGTAACTGATTTACTAACCATTTCTTTATTTATTCTTTTGCTTCTTGTGGGCTTTCTTTTATCATTATTCGCTGTCTCTTTTATTCTTTGCTGTGTAAAATTGTCATTTTTCAATCAGCGTGCGAATAAAGTGTATTAAACCTTGCTGTACATTTCTATTTTGGCCACTGCCATATACATAAGAATGCGGTCGTGCATATAGTAATGATTCCCATCAAACGGCTCCATTATATCTCCAAAAAGTCCTATTTCGAATGGATCATACATTCTTTATTTTTAACCAGGATTTGCATATTTCTAAAAATGGTAATGTTTGTTTTCCTTTTTTGAAAATATCGATAAATATCTAGAGATGGTCTAGTTTGTTGAACGCAGTAGATTACACCATTTTTATTTAAACAATTATTTACACAGATTCAAAATGTATGAAAAATAAGAAAGAGAAAAAAGTAGTCATAATAAGGGTATATATATATATTGCAGTGTATATATGCGTGAGTGTGTGTTTGTGTGTATTATTATATATGCATTTCTTTTTCCGGTTTAATACATTGATAAAAAAAGAGGGGAGAAATATAATTTGTATAAAGAGGTGTGAAATAAGTGGATGTGTTTTACCTTTTATTATAAAAGGGTTGTTCAGGTATGTTTGAAGCATAATTATTTTGTAAATTAACAAATCCATAAGTATCAAGCTGTCGAGGCTGTTGATGCTGTGGTTGTGGCTGTACTGGTGTAATCGTTTGCTGATCGATTGTATTTACATCATTTGCAAAATATCTTGTATTAACCGTTCGATGAGGATCATTCGTAACAGGAGAAACTCCAGTACTCGTACCCGCAGCTGACGTAGTAGGAGCTGAGATATAACCAGGAATATCATTTGTATTTGAATAGTGCGAGTTTAAGGCATTCATAGAGGAGATGAATTGCTGGTAACCAATGTTCATAGACTTTATATCGGTAACAGATGACGTATGATTGTCGGCTGAGATAGGATATGCTGTTCTTTGTGGAATATACTTTTCTTGAGGCTTCAACTGCGATTTGCTAGCTTGTGTTTGGAATATTTGTTGAGATGATTTGTTTCTTTGTTGTTCCTCTGGATGTCCTGCGCCTGGAAATTGAAGATTAAATTTTGGTGGGATGGCGGCGGCCATGCCAGGCGGTGTTATTATTTCTTCTGGTTCTTTTTGAATGATGATACTATCGTTTGCTATGTCGTAGCTCTCTGGATTCCAAGCGTAATTAGCAGGCATTTGATCTGTCTCCATATCTTCATCAAACTGATTAGGGTCAATTCCCAAGTTGTTTGCCAATGATTCTATGTTCATCTGAAGCATACTAATATCCTGCGTAATGGATTGAGCAGATCGTGTGGCAGTATTGAGTGTCTGCGAGAAATCGGCCAAGGAAGGCGGCTTTAGTTCTTCAATAGAAGAAGGAGCTACGGTAGGGGTAAAGTCAATATTAGGTTTGATCTGTTGAGGAAGCTGATCGCTTTGATTGATGGAGTACAACTTTAATACAGAAGATAATATATTTGTTAACGTAGCTGGCCCCAGGGATGTAGAAGATAATTTTATGTCATTTACTTTGTCTTGGTCAATCGTTATGCCTGCTAAGGATGCGGCTTCCTCGATTAACCCTTTTAGGAGCACATCTGTACCATTTGATCCTACATGAAAATAGGGGGTTAATCCCGATAAGCCTAAACGAATAATAGTTTTTTATTTTACCCATCGGAAGAGCCAGTTGATCATTATTGGTGAATACGGCTGTTAGGAACAACAATATCTTTTCAATCGCTTCTTGATGTCGATGATACTTTTCTCTTGAATTCAATGTCTCTTGCCATAGTATTTCATTATCTCTATGGAGTTCTTTTAATTGATTTCCAATTGTCTCTTGATGTTTTTTGATCAAGGCGAGATCATCAGCAAGAGAGGCTACACTAGGCGCATCTCCGTCCATGTTATCTCGATCTTTATTTTTCTTTCTGGTCACAAGTATGAGTAAATCAGGTCTACCTCTTTGAAAGTGTGGATTACTGAATTCCCATATTTCGTGGCTGTTACTGTCTGATATTAATACGCCCTGTTGGAGGTGGGGTATTTTATGAAAATCATACATATTGAGCTGTCGAACAAAGGACGCAAATGTATTGTGCTTGTAAAATCTTGGTAATACCTTTTTTGCAAACTCCTCGTGTCGCTCCACTATTTATATTTGATTATTAGAATAATATAGAAAAAAAAAAAATTTTTTTTTTTTCTCTTTCTTTCTATTCATTTTACCTATAAACGAGTTACCATCCGTAGACCATCGAATGAGGCTATCCGTTGATGCATCGCTCACCATACTATTTCATATAATGATTAGTGTTTATTCTAGAGTATCTGTTGTGTGTACGTTACTCATTAGGAGCTAGAGACTAAGACACAACAAAAGAATACCGTACACACATAATTTTTTTTTCTGGTCTTTACTTGTATAGCTTATTCAAGAAGGCTGGGACACTTCGCTGAGCCGTTAAACGTTGGTTATTCGAAGAAGAGGAGTTACGGCCGGTTTGAGGTGCTGAGGATGATGACGATGTATTACTGCTGTCTCCGGAAGAGGATGGATCCACATTATGAACTGAGCGTGTTCTTTTCATATGATTGCTTGCATTTGATGTCATGGATGATGAACCAGAATCTGAAAATGTATTTGAAAAGGCACCGGGTGAGTCAGAGGATGCGGATGAAGAAGCTGAGTGGGATCGTTTTCTTGTCAAAGGCTGTTCATTGGGCCTTAATTTTTGTATTGGTTGTGGTTGGGGTTTTTTCATTTTATAAAAAAGGAAATACGTTGACTTTTTTGTATGTGATAAGTGTTAAAAATGAATAATAAATACTGGTGTGATAAATTATATATACTTGTGTGTGTAAATATGTATAAAAGGGCTATGAGAGAGTTTTTTGGTTAATAGAAGAAATAAAAAGAGGGAATCAGCACTACCTTAAAAGTATGATTGCACCTTGGAGTAAATAAAAGGAAGAATACAGAATTTTTCCAAGAAGGCAAAGATAGGGAAAATGAAAAAAAAAAAAAGTGAGGAAAAGGAAGAAAAAAAAGAATGTACAAAGAATTGCCGATTTTAAAAAAGGGATGCGACTTTTTTTCCCTTACTTCCTAGAAAGTGAAAGGCTGTAAAAAATTTTATACATTATACTTTACTCGGAACTATGCGCGTTTCACAATGTGATGGGTTTCTATAATCGCCCATGAGGGAACCTTAAGCAATAATAATAAGGAGAATCTCACTCTAAAGGCGCATTTTTATTAAAACAGAAAAATCGTCAAATTTAAAGACTCTTGGATACAATAAGGAAAGGAAAATGTAAGCATTTTTTCCAAATTAGTCATAGTCAATTGGATAAAGTCTAGATTTGACTTTCAACTTTTTCAAGTTCAAATGTACTCAAATCGTCATGATTGCTTCTTTTGGCATTATATGAAAAAAAAAAAAAAGAAAGCTATCTATTTGTTATGTTTTTACACTATTCTCAAAAGAGAGAGGAACATGAGTTATTTAAATACATGGCGTAATCAAAGTTGGTTAGAGTACATTATATAGTTTGCGAAATAGACTTGCAATTAGAGTAAAACTTTAATGCGGATAAGCGTCTGTGTTGCATTTTATACTAAGCTACTATAATTTGAGCTTTGTGTTTTATCACAGCAATACATGTAAATGTACACTTGTTTACAAGATGCGAAAACAAGGAGAATGGATAGTACGCTAAAAGATAAGCAATACCTATTGATGTACCTAGAGTGCCTTTTGTCTTATCTAAACCCTTTGTCTTTTTATATTGATCAACGTCATCCATTGTAATCTTAATAAAGTAAGCACCATGGTTAATTACAACTATTCATATCGTTAGAATGGCCTGTTCATTTTCTTTTCCTTGACCATGCCTTTGTAGGTACTAGACTGATAAATTAAAAGTCAGCTCATACCGAGCTGCTGGATCATTTGCACATAAGGGTAGTAGCGCTAATTGGACATTTTTTAAAATACAATACGGCTGGTAAATTTGTCCGTTCTGAAAAAGTAAATGGCAATTTCCGAAAAATAAATGTCGATTATCAAAGAATAAATAGCACTATGCCGACCTAGCCTATTTTGAGGCTCCACCACCTAACTCCTCAGCATTGATCTGTTCTCTTCTTTCAGTAAAAGCGTATCGGTATCGGCGATTGCCGTCAATCGACTTATTGCCGTCGACTTATCCACGTTTTTCCCTAGGGACATGGCGTCGTTTTTGGCAGTGTGCCAGCCACATCAGGCGCGAATGATCACATATCGCATTTATCACAGACGTATCTCATCACGACAGCGTCTGTATAGTCTGAGTCTAGCTCTTTTTCGACCCCAGTCTGCTTGATGTGCAATCAGCCCGAGTCTGGCGAGCACTTTGTGTGGTCATGTACTCTGAAACAAGCCGCTTGACAACTCATGTTCTACCTTACCTTCCTCAATCGACCTATATAGCTACAGGACGTAATGAATGGTCCAATTACAGTATCCACCGTTACGAATCATACATCGAATATCGATCGTATAACGGTCATAGCCTGCATGATATTATGCATTTGGCAGTTCCACTAGAGAGTTGTTTTCCAAATACTTTGTGATACAAAATACGCTGACCATACCTCTGCAAAGGGAGAAGATCTTGCTTTTATGCATTGTTGTAACCGCATTGAAAGAGTTCTACAATACATTCGCGCCCCCGTAAAGTACGCTGTTGCTCGATTCTTCTATTCTAAAGGATGGATCAGTAAAACACTTTTGCAAGGAACCTTATCTAGTAGACATAAAGTATCCTACTAAGCTACCGACATCTTCCAGTCTGACGATGTCACCGTGGACAACGCAGACGACTTATTCCACGGATCTATCAACACCAACACCAACTCTACAAGGGAGGCTATTACCATAGACGACTCTGTATCCTTATGAGCCGCCTAACAGTTACACTTTTCAACGCTACCGGCCTATCCAGATATGCAATTATACCTATTATCGACGCGGCATAACCAACATCGATCCTTTTAATCACTGAAACCTGGCTACTCCCAACTGTAAGATACCCAAAAAATTGGAAAACAATTTCATACGCATGGTATACCTATTGAACACTATAGCAACAGAGTCGCGCAAAGTATATGTATGCTAGTCAATCCTGACCGTCCGTACTACATCCATTACTTGCCCTCTCGCGGTTCTTCTTTTGCTTAGTATCAGCTTTTCTTCACAATAACTGATACATTGATTCACTGTTTGTATTTGCCACCTTCACTGGATAATCAGACAGTATTGGAGATTCTATCATCGCTCCCATCAACAACTCCTAACACAAGGCAAACCATCATATGTGACAATTTTAATGCTAAGCTTGGCTTCTACACAAGGGATCGCTCGATCAATCTTTTTGTAATGCTGTACACCGCTGGCTTAAAGAAAACGGTATTATTGTATGGAATAGGCGACTGGCTTTTGGCCAACCTACATTTCTGATACATAAAGGGAATATTAATCTTTTCGACGACGTCTAAATCAAAGCTCTACTTTCTAATGCTACTTCTCGTCGATTTCGTCCAAAAACAGGCGTTTTACAGGATTCCATACTCTCACTGTATCCTTACTCGGTATACATCAACCAACTAAAGAATAATGCATTTTATGGTCAATTCTCTTTTGCTTTTCTTTCTTCAAAGAATAATACTTACAAGGTAGGCAGCCCAAAAAACACACTATTTTTATTTTCGCGTGTGCGTAGCGTTTCCTTTTTTT